AGTGCTATTCATTTAAGTAGAAATCTTATTTACATGATATAACCAAACATGTTGATATTAAATTTCATTTTGTTAAAAATATGTTTGAAAAATGTTTGATTAACTTGATTAAGATTCCAATAGAATATAATCATGGTGATTTTGGTATCAAGGTGTTATCTTTAAGCAAGTTCAGAAGCTGCCTGAAAATTCTGAATATAACTTGAAAGAAGTTGTTATTAGTTGTTTTTGTTTTTCATTCTATTTTTCAAAACTGACTATTTCTTTTTGTAGGTACTTGGAGCAAATGAAATCATGTAGTTATGTATTTGAATCCACAAATGAATACTCATAATAGTTCAGCAAGGTAGAGAATGTTGGATATGTGATGCCTCACTATTCTCTGTCTTTGGGCCTCTGTAGTTTGTTGGCCTGTTTTGTTATAAGACTTGGGCGTGTGTGCTGTGTTTAGACCAACCGAGTTGTTGCCTTTTAAGTTGGTATAATCATGGCTCTTCACGTGTCACATTCTAGACCGTTTGATGGTTGCCTTTAAACTGTGTTATGCACTTCTATTGGTATCAATTCGTTCTCTTTGACTAGGGTTTTCTCTCTCTCTCTCTCTCTCTCTCTCTCTCTCTCTCGAGTGGTTGTCTCTGTAATTTGATTCTTGAGATCCTTGGTGTAATCTGTAATATCTTAGTGATATTTTCAAGTGTATCTCATATATACTAGTGAGAGGAAATCTGTATTTGTTAGAGGCTAGAGAGAACTTGATACATTCTGTAAATCTGAACTTTGTGATATTCTTAGTGGATTCAAGCTAATCTAGTGCGTAGATGCTCAACTGGTGAATAGGCTTTTAGCTGAACATCCGGGCTCCCAAAGGAGACGAACAATCTTTGTGTTGTTATTTTGTTTCTGCGATTTTACATTCTTGAGTTTTCTTATTATGAATAACTGATTCTGGACAAACACCCAGATAATTGTTGTATTTTTGTAAAAGTTGCTGTGCTCTTGTTTTCCAAAGTTGAAGGGCGTGCCAGTCGAGACCCTGCTGAAGTTCATTCCCGAGCATGCCAGAAATCAATGCCCCTTAGGTTATGATCCCTCAAAATATGGAAGAAAAAATCAAGGTGCGTGACCTTTTTGTTTTCTCATGTTCTCATTGTGTAGTTGGTTTGTATCTCCCTTTTTTTAATAGAAGATCAAGTTCTATTGACTCAGTGACCGAACCTTAACGGGTATTTTGTTTACCCTGTTTCTAATCAACTACAGCTTTTGATAATATTTTCCGTCTCGAAAGGATTCATGTGTCCCTTTTCTATTTTATGGTTGCATCCCCAAATGTTTATGTCTTGGAGTTGGAAAGAAATGTTTGCATGTAATATAAACCCAAACGAGCGACCAACTTAAAACGATGAAAATCAAGAATGCAATCCCAACTTTCGACAAACTATTGTAGATAAATTTTACAATTTGCATTCAGTTAAACTTTTTATTCAGGTACTACAGACTTTTAAATACGTACTCAAGTATTTCTCCAGCAATAAACATTTTGACAAGACTGCATAAGATCTAATATAAAGAGGCAAGTACCTCCAATAAAGCAGCAGCAAATTGCATTTGAGTCTTCTCATCAATAGTCAAGAACAGGGGAACATGTACAAATAGTGATTTAATTCCATTCTGCTCTGCAAAGCACAAGGAATGATAGTATACATAATTGCAGACAAATCGGCCAGCATCATCTGAAGTCGTTACTTCATAACCCATCTTTGCCAATGCATTGGTAATATCCTCAACAGGAAGGCAAGTCTGCAAGCAGTTAACAAAAGAATGTAGAGCAAGCCATTACTAGAACCTGAAATGAAGCATTACTAAAAACAATTCTACCTCTCGTATTTGTGAAATCACACCATCCACAGGAACAATGGGGACTTTCTGCAATAAATATGACCCCAAATGTCAGTTCCGTCCCTCACTTATCTAAGTTGGATGGGAAAATCTTAACAGTCGCATCTAACCTGAGGCTTCCATCCCATCTCATCAGGGCAACAAAATGTAGCTTCATTGACAGCTCGATGCTCTATGGCAAACCTTGTTGCACCACTATTAACTCCAAAATGTAGCTGACAATAAATATCAAGACAGTGAAGAAACTAAGTCAATTGGAAAAGACAATGTCTTTTAATCATAGACTTGAATTGGACCAAGAGTCCAGAGTTGAGAAGCAGGGGCCAGAAGAATAGGGGGCGGAAAATTCATGTCTTGGCTCCCATCATCAAATCTTACAACCTGAACTCTTTTAATAACATTCCATAGATTATAGGAGAATGATTTGGTTAAAATTCCAGTAACAATGAATAAGATCCGACTGTAAAGACCCTCTAAACAACCTTTCAAACGACTGAGATTGAAATCTTGTAATATATGAGGTAACTGTTCTTTTTCTTTCCTTTTTTCCTGTATTTTTGTAACAAAGATGACAATACATGTTTCAACAGAAGTTAATATTCAAAAAGTAGCTCATAAATAGAAAGTAGGTTGCTTGTCCTTGTTCTAATAAGCTGATATTATAGCGAACAAAGAATCAAAATAATCTCAGGGGAAAAAAAGAAGGAAATTTAGGACTACCATTCACAAACACAATCAACCAAATATACAAATGAAGCCCATGTTTGGTTCAACTAAAAATCATATTTTAGATTTTGATAAAAATTGATGAAATGTGCGTTTGAAAGGTTGGTAAAAGTTGTGGGTCTCATAAAACGTGTGGTTGAAAATAAGTTTGAGGAAAAATGAGTTTTCAACAATAGTGACCAAACAGGGGCGAAAAGATGGAGAGAAATTCCTTCCCAATTGGCAGATTCAACAATTGACAAGAGTCGGTACACAGTTCACAGCCATTTGAGCTCTGGGTTAAAAAAAATGATTTACCCAGTTGTTATCTATTTTTATCAAGGGAAGAATAGTTGAGGAGGCAAAACAAGAAACTGACCCAAATTACTCTTCTAGGATTTGATACATTGACGTCCTGGTTCACAGCAGACTGCAATGTTTGATATAGGGGAACAAGAGCTCCTTCACCTGCAGTATCAAGAATGGTGAAACTGCCAAGGATCAACCCTTTTGGCAAACCCCTTTTTACCATATAGTCTTGAAGATTGTTAACAATTGTCTCAGTTGGATTTTCTGCAACTCCATGGAACTTCTTAAATCCAGTCACATGAATTGTCACTGGTGGAGCAGGTCCTTCAGACCCCATCTATCGATAATTTAGATGCTTGCAACAACGTCAAAGCATGAACTGTTCAGATCAGTATCGGAACACCTGATAAAGAAAACACCAGATGATGCATTCATAGACCTCACACAACAAAAATGAGCAAATGAATTCCCATAATATCCGCCAAAGAAATCATCATCAGTCACGTTATACTAGTTAAAATGTCAAACAATAGTACTTTTGGAGGTCCTCTACTCCATAAAAATCAGATATTACATAACAAAAAACTTCCCGCCGTTCGATATTCATGACTGCAATTTTTGTAGAAAGGAGTTATGATATAGTACCTACAGGTACATAAGAAATGCATTGAATCGATCCAGTCGCAACTTCGAATATACATTCGTTTGTTAAAAAGATTAACGAGAGTGCTACCTTAAGCCAACTTCCTTTAAAAGCTTTCCCTAATCTCATGAACAGCTCTTGGCTCTTCAAAAGCCCAGCCAAACAGACCTTAAAGAATTGAAGTAATATCGTAAAGAATTGAACTAAAGATCAAGAAAAATTCACTTATCCAAAATCAAATAAAGATCAATTAAAACCCCAATATTCCTAATATCGTAAACCTCTTTTATTAAGCCTAAACTAAACAATCCAAATCCAATTTAAATTCAACAAGTATGATCGAGATAAAAAAATGTGAATCCAAGATGAGCCAGATCAAGAAAAATACCACAGAATTCGAAACTACGAAAAAAATATCTAGAAAAAAGACATCTTTTTTTTATTATTAATTTATATACTAACCTGAAAGCTCAACGGAGAGGCAAACATGAAGAAATGACTCCATCACTGTCTTATCTACCCAGAGCGGTGGTTATAATTGTAATTTTATATTGCTTTTGGTAAACCTGATTGATTGAGACTACTTTTGTGATTAGAGACGAAAATTTTTTAAAAAATGGGTTTCTCATCCGATCATAAATTTTAAATGATTTATATACACAATTATTGTAATGATGATGATGATGAACTTTGAATAAAGGAAGTTGTGTTGGAACAATAATTGTATAAAACAAATTTAGCCAGAGTTAATTTCACAATTAGTCCCTCATATTTGTGAAAAATATCGAGTTGGTTCTTTGAATTGAGGTGGTAGTCTTCACTTTAGGATGTGTTTGTGCCACATTATTTTGGAAGAATGTATTCAGGAATAGTAGACTAATGGAGAATGTGTGGTTGAAAAAAAAAAATTATTAATGTGATAGAAATATTATTTTATTGAAAAATGTGTGGTTGAAAATGAGTAGAAGAATGAGAATGAAAATTTTAATGTGGACCAAACAAGGGCTTCGTTTCTAATGGTGTAAATTATATGTTGGTACTTATCGAACAATCTTTGTGTTGTTATTTTGTTTCTGCGATTTTACATTCTTGAGTTTTCTTATTATGAATAACTGATTCTGGACAAACACCCAGATAATTGTTGTATTTTTGTAAAAGTTGCTGTGCTCTTGTTTTCCAAAGTTGAAGGGCGTGCCAGTTGAGACCCTGCTGAAGCTAATTCCCAAGCATGCCAGAAATCAATGCCCCTTAGGTTATGATCCCTCAAAATATGGAAGAAAAAATCAAGGTGCGTGACCTTTTTGTTTTCTCATGTTCTCATTGTGTAGTTGGTTTGTATCTCCCTTTTTTTAATAGAAGATCAAGTTCTATTGACTCAGTGACCGAACCTTAACGGGTATTTTGTTTACCCTGTTTCTAATCAACTACAGCTTTTGATAATATTTTCCGTCTCGAAAGGATTCATGTGTCCCTTTTCTATTTTATGGTTGCATCCCCAAATGTTTATGTCTTGGAGTTGGAAAGAAATGTTTGCATGTAATATAAACCCAAACGAGCGACCAACTTAAAACGATGAAAATCAAGAATGCAATCCCAACTTTCGACAAACTATTGTAGATAAATTTTACAATTTGCATTCAGTTAAACTTTTTATTCAGGTACTACAGACTTTTAAATACGTACTCAAGTATTTCTCCAGCAATAAACATTTTGACAAGACTGCATAAGATCTAATATAAAGAGGCAAGTACCTCCAATAAAGCAGCAGCAAATTGCATTTGAGTCTTCTCATCAATAGTCAAGAACAGGGGAACATGTACAAATAGTGATTTAATTCCATTCTGCTCTGCAAAGCACAAGGAATGATAGTATACATAATTGCAGACAAATCGGCCAGCATCATCTGAAGTCGTTACTTCATAACCCATCTTTGCCAATGCATTGGTAATATCCTCAACAGGAAGGCAAGTCTGCAAGCAGTTAACAAAAGAATGTAGAGCAAGCCATTACTATAACCTGAAATGAAGCATTACTAAAAACAATTCTACCTCTCGTATTTGTGAAATCACACCATCCGCTGGAACAATGGGGACTTTCTGCAATAAATATGACCCCAAATGTCAGTTCCGTCCCTCACTTATCTAAGTTGGATGGGAAAATCTTAACAGTCGCATCTAACCTGAGGCTTCCATCCCATCTCATCAGGGCAACAAAATGTAGCTTCATTGACAGCTCGATGCTCTATGGCAAACCTTGTTGCACCACTATTAACTCCAAAATGTAGCTGACAATAAACATCAAGACAGTGAAGAAACTAAGTCAATTGGAAAAGACAATGTCTTTTAATCATAGACTTGAATTGGACCAAGAGTCCAGAGTTGAGAAGCAGGGGCCGGAAGAATAGGGGGCGGAAAATTCATGTCTTGGCTCCCATCATCAAATCTTACAACATGAACTCTTTGAGGTCCTGTTTGGGAGGGATTTAGATTTTTCTACAGTAAATCAATTCTCATTTTCAACCACACATTCTTCAATAAAATAATCTTTTTCATCACATCAATAATTTTTTCTTCTTTTTTAACTACACATTTCCCATCATATCACTATTCAAAATCAATTCTTCCCCCAAAAATCCCTCCCAAACAAACTCTTAATAACATTCCATAGATTATAGGAGAATGATTTGGTTAAAATTCCAGTAACAATGAATAAGTTCTGACTGTAAAGACCCTCTAAACAACCTTTCAAACGACTGAGATTGAAATCTTGTAATATATGAGGAAACTGTTCTTTTTCTTTTCTTTTTTCCTGTATTTTTGTAACAAAGATGACAATACATGTTTCAACAGAAGTTAATATTCAAAAAGTAGCTCATAAATAGAAAGTAGGTTGATTGTCCTTGTTCTAATAAGCTGATATTATAGCGAACAAAGAATCAAAATAATCTCAGGGGAAAAAAAGAAGGAAATTTAGGGCTACCATTCACAAACACAATCAACCAAATATACAAATGAAGCCCATGTTTGGTTCAACTAAAAATCATATTTTAGATTTTGATAAAAATTGATGAAATGTGCGTTTGAAAGGTTGGTAAAAGTTGTAGGTCTCATGAAACGTGTGGTTGAAAATAAGTTTGAGGAAAAATGAGTTTTCAACAATAGTGACCAAACAGGGGCGAAAAGAATGGAGAGAAATTCCTTCCCAATTGGCAGATTCAACAATTGACAAGAGTCGGTACGCAGTTCACAGCCATTTGAGCTCTGGGTTTAAAAAAATGATTTACCCAGTTGTTATCTATTTTTATCAAGGGAAGAATAATTGAGGAGGCAAAACAAGAAACTGACCCAAATTACTCTTCTAGGATTTGATACATTGACGTCCTGGTTCACAGCAGACTGCAATGTTTGATATAGGGGAACAAGAGCTCCTTCACCTGCAGTATCAAGAATGGTGAAACTGCCAAGGATCAACCCTTTTGGCAAACCCCTTTTTACCATATAGTCTTGAAGATTGTTAACAATTGTCTCGGTTGGATTTTCTGCAACTCCATGGAACTTCTTAAATCCAGTCACATGAATTGTCACTGGTGGAGCAGGTCCTTCAGACCCCATCTATCGATAATTTAGATGCTTGCAACAACGTCAAAGCATGAACTGTTCAGATCAGTATCGGAACACCTGCTAAAGAAAACACCAGATGATGCATTCATAGACCTCACACAACAAAAATGAGCAAATGAATTCCCATAATATCCGCCAAAGAAATCATCATCAGTCACGTTATACTAGTTAAAATGTCAAACAATAGTACTTTTGGAGGTCCTCTACTCCATAAAAATCAGATATTACGTAACAAAAAACTTCCCGCCGTTCGATATTCATGACTGCAATTTTTGTATAAAGGAGTTATGATATAGTACCTACAGGTACATAAGAAATGCATTGAATCGATCCAGTCGCAACTTCGAATATACATTCGTTTGTTAAAAAGATTCACGAGAGTGCTACCTTAAGCCAACTTCCTTTAAAAGCTTTCCCTAATCTCATGAACAGCTCTTGGCTCTTCAAAAGCCCAGCCAAACAGACCTTAAAGAATTGAACTAATATCATAAAGAATTGAACTAAAGATCAAGAAAAACTCACTTATCCAAAATCAAATAAAGATCAATTAAAACCCCAATATTCCTAATATCGTAAACCTTTTATTAAGCCTAAACTAAACAATCCAAATCCAATTTAAATTCAACAAGTATGATCGAGATAAAAAAACAAGTGAATCCAAGATGAGCCGGATCAAGAAAAATACCACAGAATTCGAAACTACGCAAAAAAATCTAGAAAAAAGACATCTTTTTTTTTATTATTAATTTATATGCTAACCTGAAAGCTCAATGAAGAGGCAAACAAGAAGAAATGACTCCATCACTGTCTTATCTACCCAGAGCGGTGGTTATAATTGTAATTTTATATTGCTTTTGGTAAACCTGATTGATTGAGACTACTTTTGTGATTAGAGACGAAAACTTTTTAAAAAATGGGTTTCCCATCCGATCATAAATTTTAAATGATTTATATACACAATTATTGTAATGATGATGATGAACTTTGAATAAAGGAAGTTGTGTTGGAACAATAATTGTATAAAACAAATTTAGCCAGAGTTAATTTCACAATTAGTCCCTCATATTTGTGAAAAATATCAAGTTGGTTCTTTGAATTGAGGTGGTAGTCTTCTCTTTAGGCTGTGTTTGTACCACATTTTGGAAGAATGAAAAAATTATTAATGTGATGGAAATATTATTTTATTGAAAAATGTGTGGTTGAAAATTTTAATGCATATCAAACAAGGGCTTAGAGCCCGTTTGGTACAAATACTCATTTTCTACAGTAAATTAATTCTCATTTTCAACTTCATATTCTTTGATAAAATAATATTTTCCATCACATCAATACTTTTTTCTTCTTTTCAACCACACATTTTCCATCTTATCACTATTTAAAAAATTAATTCGTCTCCCAAAAATTTCTACCAAACACACTCTTAGTAACCTAATTGGAGAAACGATGAAAAAAGATGATTTTTATTTACAAATTAATTTTCTTGATAGAAAATGATGAAAAAGTTAAGAGAAAGAAAGGAATTAAAAATATAGAAAAGAGGTTCATGCTACCAAAAGATGCACCTGAATGAACTCGAATCGCACAAGTTGGTCTTCAATATCTGAAACAAAGGAGTTGAGGTGTGTTCTCGTCGCCCCTCCAATACTTAAGTTAGAAAGAAGAATTACACAAAATATTGTAGGTTGGAATATTATTGACTAACGTACATGAATAATGAGGTATGATTACATATTTATATATGTTTGGAGATAGAGTTCTAAAAGGATCCAACTTTCCATAACCTTTATCCTGACAAAGTGTTTGTATTATGTTAAAAGTGTACAATTTGAGCTAGGGTAAAATTTATAATGAACTAGGAGTTTGTACTTAAATAGGACTATCATCCCTAGGAGTTGTACATCATGATCAAAGAGGATACATGGGGTAAGGTTGAAGACCCGACTTATTGTTGGGCACGGCCTCTAGCTCGACCCCAACCTCGAAAATGGCCCAACATGGTGGGCCAAGGTCGGGCCATTGAGGTCGAGTTCGAGTCCAGTATGTATCAGGGGTAATAATATTAATAGGTTGAAGGGAGAAAAATATTATTTTTTTGTATCGTGCTCTAATGTTTGTAAAATGAAAGAATATGGAGAAATATTGAAGGCGAGATTACATATCGGAAAATATTTTTCCTTTTTCTTTTTGAGACGAAATTATTTCAAAATTTTGAGGTGAATGAGAGACTTTACATTTGTACTTTTTGCTTAAAAATTACCAGTGGAGGATTTTATAAAAGTTATTGACAATCGAATATTTCGTGACTATTTTAAATTTTTTAAAAAGTATTGATTTGATATCCAAAAGCTTTCAAGAACTTTTAAATAGTCTATATTGAATAACCATGAAACTTTTATAAAGTTCTGGTTAAATACACCTATTAAATGTAATACGATCTTATCATGTGTTGACACTTGATCGGTGTTGAACAATGTTGCTTTTAACATTTTATTTGAAAAGAATCAACACCAATGATGCCATAAAATAATGTCAGTGTTTTGGCTCCCACTTTGAAAAATTTATAAATTTTGAAATAGTGATTGATGAAAAAATGTGTGATTGAAAAAAAATGAAAATGTTTGGTTTCAATTATTTTTAAAATATATTTTTCTCTATTTTATTTTCAATTACATATTTTTTAATACAATAATATCACATGCAAAATCAAAACTTTTCTTTATTTTTTAAATATGTGTTCTCCACAAAAATATTGCTCCAAATGCATTTTGGGGGAAACAACGGGGATCAAAGAGGCTCTAAATTCATACATTTTGACAACATATTTTATCAAAATCAACTACAATCTAATTTTTATCCAAATCAAACATGAACTTAAGGGTAGGGCTGGGCAAAATGTTCGAACCGAATCGAACCGAACCAGAACCAAACCGAACCGAATCGAACGGGTTTTTTAAAATGAAATACCCGAACAAGTATCCGAATCGAGAATCGAATGGTTTGGTTCGGTTCTCGGTTCTCGACCAAGAATCGAGAACCGAAGAACCGAATAAGATTTGAATTTTTTTTTTTTTATATTCGATAAATCAAATTCTTTTATTTTTTCTAAACAAATTAATAATTTTTTTCTTATTAAATCTTATTAGTTAAACAATTTAGAGATTATTTATGTTTGTTAGTTGTGTTTTTTTAATTTTTCTTGTATAGTTTCTTAGTAGTTACTATAGAAAGTCAACAAACTGATGATTATATTAAATAGTTGGTAAATATTATNTTTTATTAGTAATATTTACTTTTTCGTATTTGTATTTGACAACTTATTATTTATATGTTATTAAATTAGATTACGTTAATTTGTAAAAGTTAAGATTGAACTTGGTATTTATATCTACTTTTTGTTATTAATATTAGTATCCACTTTCATGTGTATTTATGTAGTATTATTTTAAATGTTAAAAAATTTAATTATAGTACGGAACTGAATCGAACCGAAAAGAACCGAACCGAAACCGAGCGGTCCCAAAATTATATTTGGAACCGACAATTCCATTTACTAAATACTCGAAAATTTCTGAAATCGAACCGAACCGAACCGAACTGACTCGCACCCACCCCTACTTAAGGGTCCTTTGGCATAACGTTTTAAAAGTCTAAATGAGTTTTTGAAATCCAAGAATTGCTTTTAAACTTGTTCGACTTCTTTTATGAAAGTAATTCTTCTAATTAGAAGAGATTTTAAAATAAGTTGATTCCATATAACTTCCTCTAAAAGTACTTTCAAAAATAGAAAGTTTGTTTAAAAATTATTTTCCAAACAAAAATTAAAATCACTTCCTCCTTAACCTCTTCTATAGGAAGCAAAAGTAAAAACAAAGGCAAAAACAAAAACAAGAGTAAATATCATGCCAAACAGATGATATGTCAGCTTATATGAACCATGAATTATTGAGGTATTGAGGAATGAATAAGTCAATTAAGTCTAAAGGTCACTATTACCTAGCCTTTTTGTGTTCCCTTATCCTTTTATATCAATTATTTTTAAAATATATTTTTCTCTCTTATTTTCAATTATACATTTTTAATAAAATAATATTACATGTAACCTTAAAAAAAAAAAAAATTATTCTTCAACCACACATTCTCCTTCATTCTATTATTCATAAATACATTCTTACAATAGATAGTAATGATGATTGAACATGCTCAGAGACAAGGAAAATACAGACTGACTTAGCAGCACCTATTTGAGTTTTTTTTTTTTTTTTCTAACTATCCAATCATGTGCTAACGCGTGTCTCCCCTATTTTTGACCACGTTCGTGTAGCATGATTCTACAATAAAATAAAACGGGGCCCAAACAGGCTTATTGGGAAAGTAAGAGTGTGTGGTTCACTTTGTCGCTTAGCGGATATATACACAATCACACATTCTTCATCAATATATTATTTCAAAATACATTATTACTACAAATAGTAATGATGATGGAACATGCTTAAAGAAAGGAAAAAAAATACTGGACTTGACAGCACCTGTTTGGATTTTTTTTTCAAACTGTCCAATCATGTATCGATACGTGTCTCCCATATTTTTGAGCATGTTTTTGTAGCATGATTTGACAATAAAATAAAGAAGAAATTGTAAAAAATGTCCACTTTTACATAGCCATTTGCAAAAATGTTCAAAATTTCTTCAGTGACAATTTTACTATAATATAGACCAAAATGCCCCCATTAACAATTTTAAATTCCACAACGAAGACAAAATTATTTATATAATTAAAAATTGTATTGAACAATTATAACTGACACATAACATCTACTATTTATTTAAAAAGTTTCATGTTAATAACATTATGAAATGTAGAGAATTCTCATGTTCAAAACAAAATCTAATTTTAAACAAATGAAGTATCAAGTATCAATATAAATATGTTCCAAATGTCGATAATAGCTTTTAAATTGTCGAGAATGTCATGAAATGTCAAGAATAACAACTATTAAACACAACTTATTAACAAAAAAAGATTTCAAATAAAAATTATCTTCTACCAGAATTGTGGAAAGATTAAGCAACTGTAAATTTGGATGAGATTAAATTTTTCGAAATAAAATTATATGATTTTCTTACGAATTGGAAGCATATAATTATTTTTTAGAATGACTTTTATACTCCATCTTTTTCTTTTTTCCTAAAATTCTTGATCAATACCTAATGAATAATAAAAACAAATGAATCCATTAGATATTAGCTAGGATTAATGTCTTCTCGAAATTCGTGACAATTGAAAAAAATTGATTCATTTTTCATTGAGGGTATAATAGATAATTTGGTATTAGATTTGGCCATGCCAAAATTAGACAATTTACAATTGGCAAGTATGGAATTTTCCATATTTGTAAATTCTCCTAAAATAAAATGGGGGCACAAACAGGCTTATTAGGAAAGTGTGTGTGTGTGGCTCAGGCTCACTTTGTCGCTCAGCAAGGCTATACACTGCTCTCTCGAAATGGATGGAGAAAGGAAGAAGAGAAAGATGGAGAACAGGGAAAACGAAGAAGAAAAGATGGAGTCGTTCTTTGCTTCAATAAAAAACATACGAGATATTCGTCAAAGTATGATGATCGGTCGAGATCAATCGAACAAGAAAGACGACGTAAAACCAATTAAAGATAAGCCGCCGGCGCCCGTCGTGGCTTGGAATCCATCGTTTCAACCAGAAGATTTCATGGATGATCCACAGCAAACGCCTCTTAATTATACAGCTCAGTTAGCTGGCGGCAGCCGTTCAAAGGGGAAAAAAGAAGAAGAAGAACCAGAAGACGAAGATCAAGGTGGAGACACGGGATTGGATCTCAATCTTTCTCTTTAGCGGAATTATACCAATTAATTGGCACTGGATTTTTCAGTGAGGATACCCCTTATCTAATTTTGAGGAATCTACTTTTTTTTTTTAATCTTAGAGTAATTTATCTTTGAACGAAGTTCCTCACGAGAGTTCAGAAATTATTTGTAATGAAAAATATGTTTGCCAATAATATTGTATTTATTTACTATGTATTTATAAAATTACTTATTATCTTGGTGAAATTGAAAGGGTGAGCATTGGATGGTTCGATCTCAATATCTTAACAATCGGAGAAAATTATTCAATAATCACTAAACTTTTCACGAATTGCTATTTACTCATCGAAATTTTAAAAGATTTCCGAAGAAACTTGCGTCAAAATACTTTTCATTCGTCATTCACGAACAAATTGATTACAACTGTTGATGAAAAATCTCACTTTGGCGATGAAAATATGTGTGTAGTTTATGGTACAACGAAAATGGATAGTTATAATAAAATTAAAACAACTTCACAAACCAAAAAATCATAATATTTTATATCAAGAGTGTCTAGTGTCTATTCAAGAATCATCGTACAGAAAGGACGACCCCACTCATCGTACAAAGAAAAGAAAAGAAAACGTCGAATTTTTAATGTATTTCATCAATGAGTCGGTAAACTTATAATGGGGTCCACTTACAAAGTGGATATCTTTTCGAAATTTCGATAAGTGAAACCCAAATTCATCTATTTTTACATAGATTGGATATTCGAAATCTCATTCGAAAATCTTTAGGCGAACTACGTGAAAGGTTGAGGAGCTCCTCCTAATAAATGTGTATAGGAGGATCATTTTTTGGGGTAGGGGTAGCTGGATGTAGAAGCTCTGGGCTCTCGTGGCCTGTGCTTGAAGATTCAAAGAAATTACTTGGATTGCAACTGACTTCTTCCACTGCACCCAGCTTATATTATGTCTTGAGATAGCTGTGATTCAATGGTGAAAATTGGTTAAGTATCAAGCAATAGACCTGGACAATGGCATTCATGAACGTTCTTACTCATTCTTCTATTATACCGTCTGAGTTAATATTTCTTGTGTCTTATCTACAGCTATTTTGTTATAGTGGGGAATATGCTTCATCTGTGGTATTTACTGAAAGAAATAAGCATATAATCTTTGATATCCGTGACCTTTTTTCAAGTTACCTCAGTGCCAGTTAAGAAGTCCCAGTCCCTCTTCAAAATAATAGCAACACATATGTTGCTTAGATTCTGGTGCAAGAGTCAGATATTTTTTCTTCTAAAACCTAGAATATGGCGGTGCGGCTAAAAATGATCCAAAATTTAGACATCGGTACGTTGCGGATACATTAAATTTATAATTACTATAGAAATTTATGTTCCCATAATTTTACACACACACATTGTACTAGGGATAATTAGGCTTGAACTAATGACTTCCACGACGTCAAGGTGACACTCTACTGCTCAATTATATGATTCATTCCCTACTCCATTGAGAAATGGAGACCGTCGACGTGGACTTCAAAATTGCAAACTTGGTACTTGGAAGGTTGGGGAGTCACACTAATTTTTCCAAAAATGTTAAACAACGTTAAAATTTGTTTTCATCACATTAAAACATTGTTATTATTATAATAAAAAGACAGTTTGACTTTTACTGTTGCTAATGGAAGCAACGACAATGGGACTGAGCAAGTAATCATTACAATGAACATAATTAAGAATCTTGTGGAGAAATAATAAGGATAGATGATTTTTACCACTGGGTAAAGACGGTAAATGATTATAAGTCTACATTTACTATTCGTAAATGTGAATTATATAGATTAAAACTTATATACAACACCGGGCGTTCCCGGGTGAATCAAAGGACAAGTGAAAAAATAAAAAGAATCACAAAAACACCGGGCATACCCGGGCAATCAAAAGAGAATCAATACACAAGTTACTCAATTAGCGTCAAAGACTCGTAAAGAACTAAAACATGCGGATACAAAGAAAATATAAATTTGTATACTATTCGAATGTTGCTCAATCAGCTTATAGTTACAACATTATCAAAAGTAACATGGCACCTGCTTATGTAAGTGGCTACTATTCCTACGCTGACCATTTCCCAAACACAATTATTGTCCTATCCTTTTAGGATGCATAAAATAGATGCCAGCTGATGGGCATAGTACTGTAAGTTGATGCAAGAATATTGCTCTGAACCTAGCCCCACACTCGATAAAAAATGGAAGATGAGAAGTAAAAAGGGAGAACAGAGTTACACGTATCAAGCCGTGATGTTTGGATGATTGTTTTAGATGGTATAGGGACATGAATATGCACTAATAATTTCTTAATAATATTTTTCTGTTGTTTCATATGTTCTGGCATTTGTTTTACTAAAAGTTCAGTATTTTAAAATTTGAATATTTTGTCTGAGTTTACTCTGAACTCCATTGATCAGATTCGACCATGTAACACTCCAAAATTTTTGACGTGTCACCAAAAATTTAATTTTCGCAAAACGATAAAATAATATTTTTTAAATAAAAAATAATTTGAATATTCATAATGAAAACATAATCACAAATTAAATAATTATTTTTGAACAAATTAAATTGACTAATAATTTAAAGAAAAAAATAAACTTAATGTTTTATATCTTTGATTCCTCTTGACAGTCGCATCACCATCCCACCACAGTCTTAATCGACTCGAACTAACCTATAAAATTTTGTAAGATTGAGTATTTAAAAATACTCAGTAAGATATGTGCAATTTCCATACACAATTATATAACAATAAAATAAACATTTCATACCACCGTTCTCTTATGGAGTATAGCAGTGACCAAGCGACACACTCATCTTAGGTCATCTTAAATTCTCGTAAGATCTCTTATCTTTTAATCAAGAATCCGAAGGTCCCCGGCAATTCATGCATAAAATAAGGAATATAAAGTTATAAGGAAACAAACCACTTAGTGGTGGCAAATGGGTCGGCGGCTCGTCGGCCCTGCCGCTCGGCTCGTGGGCGGCTCGAACTCGTCAAATGACGAGCCCAAGCACGAGCCGAGCTGTAGGTTCCTCGGCAGCAAAGCAAGGCTCGGCTCATCGAGCTCGCGAACGGCTCGTGGGATTGTCAAAAATCTGAAGGAAAAAGTAAAAAAATTAAAAAATTAAAAAAAAAAAAAAAAAGAATTCGTGGACTCGGCTTGTGCTCAAATGAGCTTGAGCTCAACTCATCACTTTGACAAGCCAAGCTCGTGGGTACATGTCATTGCCACCACTAAAACCACTTGCACAAAAGTATCTTATCTTAATTGAACAAACGAACTTTTGATAAATAAAAAAAAATACTTGAAATTTACAACTACTTTATATGAAAGTTGCCGTGTAAAATTCTTTGGTGGTGAATTGTGGGACAATTGTACACTATTTATAGTAAAAAAAATAGTTGTTGAGTCATGGTACAATTGAGATGGAAAATCGTGTATATCAAATTGGATAAGAATTGAATTTCAAATAATAGAATTATGATTACTTTTAAATTTTATCAAATTAAGATTGCAATCAAATTCTATCTAAATCACGAAAAGATTATCATTATCAGGCTCAAATAAAATAGGACTTTAAAACATATTTTATTTTAGTCCTCATTTTTTTTTTCAAAATATCAAAAATATACTATATAAAACAAATAAAATTTTATTATAAAATTTTCAGGGCGTTACAATCTCCACTCCTTAAAAAATTTCGTTCTTTAAATTACCTTAACTACTTGAAAAGTTCTAAATACTTGACTATTGACATAATACAATATATCATAACATAAATCAAGAAAACTCATAATCGTAATAAAAGAACGACATTTTATTTCATACCTGGGAACAAGTGGAGAGTGGTCGAATAGTGAGCGTCACGTGTCAATGATTCTTACATTGTATGTTTAAAACTTTACATTATCTTTAAGTTCCTAAAGTTTATGAAATGTACTCCCTCTTCTTTTTTTTTTTTTTTTCTTTTTTTTCAAAAAATAGGATTTTCTCGAAATAGAAATTTATAGAAAATAGAATATTCTTAAATTTGGAAATATTTGAATTATTGTTTTTCGTTTCATTAATTTGAATAACGCGCAACCAAAAGCTTCCAGATGAGAAGGTGGGTCACAAGCGGACCACTTAAATCACAAGCTCTTCTTAGACAATTTGTGTATTTTTGACAAAGCCTTTTAATCTTATGAATACGCAAATCAAGAAATTCAAACAATAAATAGAACTCGATTCCTCTTAAAATATGAATTTTCTAATTAATAAATTTTAAAATACAACAAACATACAAACATGTATAATCATATTTTGAAGTAACGTTTAAAAATTATTATTTAATTACTTAAAACAATTATTAATATCATTTATTTAAAAAAAAAACTCTAATTTTTTGTTTGAAAATAGTGCGGCCACTATTCATGTGAACAGTGACGCATCACGTGAATATTAACTTCTTTTTACTACAAAGTCTACAGGAAAGCAAAACATTTACTGTGATATCAAACTGTAACGCCCCAAAATTTCACAAACACTCGAATGTTACCAAAAATTCAATTTTCACAGAACAATAAAATAATATTCTTTAAATAAAAAAATAACTGAAATATCCATAATGAAAACATAATCACAAATTAAATAAACAAATTAAACTGACTAATAATTTAAAGAAAAAAATAAACTTAATATTTTATCTCTTCGATTCCTCTTGGCAGTCACATCTCCATCCTACCACAATTTTAATCGACTCGAACTAACCTATAAAATTTTGTAAGAGTAAGTATTTAAAAATACATAGTAAGATACGTGCAATTCCCATACACGATTATATAACAATAAAATAAACAATACATACCACCATTCTCTTATAGAGTATATCAGTGACCAATCGACACACTCATCTTAGGTCATCTTAAATTCTCATAGGATTTCCTATCTCATAATAAGGAACCCGAAAATTCACTTTCATGCATAAATTATTGAATATAAAGTATAAGGAAACAAATAACTTGTAGAAAAGTATCTTACCTTGATTGATCAAACGAGCTTTTGATAAAAAATATATATATACTTGAAATTTACAGCTGCTTTATATGAAAGTTGTCGTGTAAAATTCTTTGGTAGTAAATTGTGGGACAATTGTACACTATTTATAGTAAAAAAATAGTGGTTGAGTCATGGTACATTGGGATGGAAAATCGTGTCTATCAAATTGGATAAAAATTGAATTTCAAATAATAGAATTATGACTACTTTTAAACTTTATCAAATTAATATTGCAATCAAACTCTATCCAAATCACGAAAAGATGATCAATATCATGCTCAAATAAGATAGGAATTTAAAACATTTTATTTTAGTCCTCTTTTTTTTTCAAAATATTAAAAATATACTATATAAAACAAGTAAATTTTTATTCTAAAATTTTCGGGGCGTTACAATTATAAAGACATTGCTTTGAAAACACTCAAGGACTTATCTTTGTGGTTGATAGTAATGATCGAGATCGTTTAGTTGAGGCTAGGGATGAGCTGCATAGGATGTTGAATGAGGTAATCAAACTAATATACGCAATGTGCCTCTTGTTGGTATTTAGTACATTGAAGTAAGGCTTCGATAAATATGAGACAAGAACTCGGAGATTGTTCTAGAATTAGTACAAATTGCTTATTAAATTCATCACTTCCTTGATGACTTTCTCAGTTGCTTGATTGAGTTATAAGTATTAGTAGAGGCTATAAAGCCCGTTAACTGAAGCGAGATGGATCATTGTAGGTTTTATACTGCCTGATTTTGAACTAATGCCTGTATAGGATGAATTGAGGGATGCAGTGCTGCTGGTCTTTGCATACAAGCAAGACCTTCCGAATGCTATGAATGCTGCTGAGATAACTGACAAGCTTGGACTTCACTCCCTCCGTCAACGTCATTGGTACTCCCTCGTGTACCTATATGAAAATAAGAGAAGTTTCTTGCAACTTGATCTACATGTAAATCCACCTGGTTTATTTCAACTGCTGAGGACTTCCCTTTCCACATTTCACGCAGGTATATCCAGAGCACATGTGCCACGTCAGGGGAGGGGCTTTATGAGGGTCTAGACTNACTTTAAAATGTGGTCCAATCTAACTTTTGACCCCCCCCCCCCCCCCCCCCCGGCAGGCAAACAAGGCATTTTCTTCAGTGCTTTTGATAGCCGAATGCTTGTCGAATTGGAAATTCTTTCCCATCCTGAGGGCTTTACTAGAGCAATCTGCCTTCTGTGCTTAGTTTTGTTTCTCATAGAGATCGAGATCACCGTGAAGTAGATTCGAAAGGCCTGCTGTACTTTCTGCATTCCTTTTTACGTTAACAGCATGTGTTTATTTTGTTCGATATAATTATACATTTATACTATTCCCCTGACTTGGTGGATATTAGACAAATAGTTAAGAATTATAATATAACCCCCAAAGTTTTCAATAACAAGAAAAGAAAAAATATCTCAAATCAATGACACATCACCCTCTAAACTTTAAAGGGTTCACAAGGAAGATCAAGTTCAGCTGAGTTTTCGCCTATCCGATATTCGATTTCTTCTCTTAGAAGTCAAGCGAGAAACAGCCATTAAGGTGTCAAACTCTCAAGTTAAAGCAAATATTCGTTGACTAACTTCCTATCTCAAAAAGAACTAATAATGATATTCATCATAACAATTCTACAAAACAAAGAACGTAACCTAGAAGAATTTTTGGCCTGTATAAAAAACTCACAATAATTTCTACTAGAAAATATCATTACAAACTTATGCACTAACTGCAGGTTGCTATTTCATGACATCAATTGCTTAATAGTTTCAAGCAAAATGTTGGCAAGCAATCAAAAAGATCCAACAATTTGATTTCCAAAACCCTCTACCAGATACTGTTAAATCCCTACAAGACTGCAAAAGAAGAATCCAATTCACCACATAAAATGATCACCTAAATGAAAGTATTTCTTAAAGATTCTCATTGCAGTCTTCTTCTCTCTCTACCTGTACGCCACATTCAAACGACAGTAAATGCTGATTGTATGGTAGAAGAGAACCCAGAAGCAAGGGTCTGGGTGGCAAATGCTTGAAGCTGCTTCTTAGCATCTGGAATCAACGTAATGGAAAATATTAGTGCTCAAGGAGACACACACACATATAGGTGTCTTGCTAACTTACTTCACGTACACATTTTTCCATGAAAAAATTGCCACGAGGCTGAGGTGTAATATAATGGCATGATAAATAAATAAAACTTGGGAACTTGGAAGAATTCTCAATTCCGACTAGTAGTTAGAGCTTCAAATAAAATTTTGTATGAATTCTTTTGCATTCATCTATATGCTCAATTCTCCACAAGTCAAGAGACTTTGCACCTCTCCAGCAATGGAGTTCGACTTTTGTGCCAAAAGGCTACTGTGCAATTCAATAGAGACAGAAAGACGATCACATCGGAAGAAAAGAACATACAAGTACACGGATTGTGTTGTGAAATCTGCAGTCAGCCTACTGGTGGTGGACATAAATGGCTTGATTTCCATCACAAGACCACAAATGTTATAGCGGGCGCTGTGTGGTGTGAATCAATAAGAACGTGTTAGCTCCAAACTTAACTAAGTCTACACTTTCTGGTAACTACGTAAGGAAAAAAAAATGTTTTATTTATTCACAACGCATATGATGAGTTTGTGTCAGGTGAAGGAGTAGATAGATTAGTGAAAAGGTTACTGGTGCTAGGCTGGCTGACGGGTTTGGGCAGGTGGAGATGTGGAGTTTGATTTTATCATACCATAGAATTAAGTTGAACCGCGAGAGGGTAAAAATGTTTCTAAAAAGAACAGGGTCGCTATCACAGGTTGATAATTTGAGGAGGTGACCCCTGACGAGTCATAGATGCCCAAATGAGAGTGCAGATGTCTAGTAGGAATATAGAAAGATCATCCTTTCTTACTATTTTGAATTACATTAACACCCTCAACGATGCTCTGTAAGATACTAAGATAAGTTTAACCAGAGGCAAAATACGTCAGACAAAAATCAGTAACGCTTATGTAAACACCCTCAACGATGCTCTGTAATATCACATACAATTACTTGTGTGACCTATACATAAGTGAACCACACAATATAAAATTTAATGTATTTGAATGTTTGAAACCTACACAGGGATCTCTTCTTGCATGAATAGAAGAGTAAATGGACCAAGTAGTGCAGAAGTAGGTGTGATTGGGTACTATAAATGTAATTGACAAGCTATAATTTGCAGCCATCACTATATTACTCCTCATGTGGTCATAAATAATAGAGTCCAAGTATATGAAACATTATATCTGGAAGAAAACATGTTAAAAACTGGTGAAATTTAAAAGTTAGATCATTAAGTCTACACACCTTTGCGGCATTTAGTAAAGCCAACAATATTTGCAATGCTGAGGGTCAAACATACTCCAACAACAAGAAGATAATCAGCTTGAAACCTTACGAGGGAAAATATCCCAAGAAAGAGCCACAAAACAGCCTACAAGCACAAGCAAGATCATTTAGCTACGATAGTGAATATGTAAAACACTTCTCAATTTTTTTCAACTTTACAGATACAACTGGGGTCAGTTTAGCTGTATCGAAACAGATCCAAATCTAAGAAATGCTAGTAACCAAATCTGAAATAGATATACGTCAAAGAAACTATGGGGTTTGACAAAGCTATTGATAAAAGTTAATGAAATTTGTGGTTGAAAAGTTGATGAAATGTAGGTCCATAAAATGTATGGTTAAAATTGAAGTTTGATTTGTTGATAAAATTTTAGCGCAGTTTTATCAAACAAGCACTTTGTCTCTAGTTGAAAAACATGGCCATGAGGAAAATATCTTTCCAGGGAAAATGCATGTCTATAACATGCATTAGCATAACTCTTTTGAAAATTCTACGTATTAATTGTGTTGAATATTAAAAATATGAGGTCCTATCATATGCTTTAATACAGATGTATACTTACAGCAAGGTATAAGGTCCACCAGAACAGCCATGAATCCTTCTTATTAATCCGAGCCAACGACTGAGCAGAGAGAGCCGGAAATTGGGTAAAATATATGTCAGAACAAGTCAAATAAGCAACATACGGATTCATGATGTAGAGATTGAAAATATCTACGACCTTCACATATGTTGAAGGCATCACCAATGGTTAATATGCTAATTAAGGTTGTGTGAAACGTGATTACCCACCTCTTGATCAAGGCATTCAAATTTCCACACGCTCTCACCCTCTTCATTTATTTCATTCCACCATCTTAAACCGACCAAGATGCGTCCACTCACATTCTTGACTACCCAAAAATCAAGAGCAGCTAGAAGCACAGTAACGACAAAAATAATGACAAAGCTATCAAAAAATAGAGCTGAAAGTATGTAAAATGCCAAAGCTGCAGCCTGCCAAATGGAAGAATATAATGTTATCCATTTATAAAATTTGCAAATAAAAATAATATCACAAAATAAGATATAAAAGACCTTGAATACTACGTGGAAGAAACATATATTTGGATGAGCATAATTCTCCCCTGCAGGCTGAGAACGGAAAGAAAGAAGTTTATGATGAGCAATCAAGCAATGTTTCTATTCATTTTTTTAGTGTGTTTGAGAGAGATGTTGGGAAGATAAATCATCAGAGGGTCTATTAGATAAACTTGTGGTATTTCCCTATCCAGATGCAACAGAAAATCCAGAGTTTTGATTATTCGCCCAGTTGTATATTCCCAATAATAGAATTCTTTAATTCTAATTCTTTTTGAAAGTTTAAATTTACCGAATATTTATACCTAACGTGCGAAATCACACAATTAAAAACAAGTCACTTTTTAATTGTTTCTAGATGATTAGGTCAGTCAAGTCAATTTATCCTAAATTTGAATATCACAATTTGTAAACAGAAAGCAATAAATAACGCTGATATGATCACGGAGAAAGCCCTTCGCAAAGGATCAAAAACTCTGGACACTTTACCAGTCAACAATCCACTATAAACGATAAAAAGTATGTTGAAGAGATAATTCAAATGGCTACAATTCTTCTAGAAATAGCCTTGTCCAAATTGCAATGTTTTCTACATGAAAAATGGGTCGCAGCTTCTAGTTGAGAATTTGAAGCATGATTTGTGCAACACTTTTACACTTTTTGACTTCTAATTGCATTTCAATGATCATATGTGATCTTCTTGGACTCCTTCAAGAAAGATTCAAGACCTATCCTACCAATCTCAACTCTTAGGACTCAATAACTCTTATTTTGACGTTGATAGCAACTCGATAAGCTCCTAATACAATTCAACTAGGATATGATTTTGACAAAAAATATTGCCAATTACAAATTTGAAAATTGTTAATTTTGTTAATTACAAAATTGGACCTAACACCTTTTTACTCACTTCTTCCACCTACACCTATATTTTCCTACCTATCTTGATATACAACCACCACGGATGAAAGTTTTGTTCAAGCAAATATAGGGTTTAAAATGCCAACTTTATATATAAACCAATTCTAATGATTCTACTTGTACTGTCGAAGTGGTAAAAATAAGTTTATATATTACTATTCTACACACTTTTTTCCAGCAGTAGTCCCCCGGCTGCAACAGGTTTCATTCATTTTCTGGTATGGGACTAATTGGTCATGCTTCTCAGCATACTAACCCACAGTTAATCCTATGGCTGGTATGCACAAATTGTTTACAATAATGAACCAGAAAACCAAAACAAAAAGGGGCTGTGATATATAAACCAACAAATTGGAAAGGACGTGTCCAGTGTTACCAAGAAGCACGGATTGGGTATGTAATTTAGATTCGATACGGATACGTCGATATACCTTTTTTTAAAAAAAAAAATTAGGATAACGAATACGTGTGTATATATAAAATATATAAATTCAACATAATTTTATTATTATAAAGAAATTAAAATAGAATCATGACAACAAAACAAAATACTAAAGCATTTTATCTTAATCCTTAATTATCCTAACTTTATTTTCTTCAACATCAGCTACTTTATCATCACTAAAAAAAACCCTCGAACTCTTGTTCATCTAATGATAAATTAGCAATATCAAGCAACTCAATACCTTCAAAAGTATTACCCCACATTTTGAATTCTCCTTTTGAATATAGATTTAATACTATTATCTTTTTTCAATAATAAAAAAAATATGTATCAACTATTAACACAATTTTACATATATTAAAAATTTTAGTACTATTATGTATTTCCAATAAATAAAAAAATCTAGCTGTCAATTTTATTAAAACTCTAGTTGTGTATTTTCAATAAATATTATCTATTTTCAATAAATTATTGATAATAACAATAGTTATCTATTAAGTAAAAATTTTTTGACAATCTATAGCCCATAATAATGAATTTTAAAAGAGTTTAAAACGAATTGAAATGTCCTAATATGTTTAATACGTAGTAATTAAAAAATAAGTATCCGATAAGTATCAAAAATTTGAAAAATATAGTATGGAATTTTATAGTATCACCGTCCTGGTGACTTATTGTAAATATATTTTAGGAGATCAAGGATGTAGAGTGACGGTGAATCTTTTAAAATTCCATACTATGCGATTTAGTTACAGAATATTGAGGAAATAAAACAGAAATCAGTGTACTTAAAATGATGACTTTATGGTGCATTGACAAAAATATATTTGATTAAGAAAATAATGTTAGAGAGTGCCGGGCCTGACGTACAGTGCTGCATAAGAGTCGGTAACTAGATGATAATTATAACCATTCGAAGAATAAGGTGAAGGGTTTTGGAGGGGGACTAGAGGATGCCATTAAGTGCAAAATTGGATTTAATGATAAAATGAAATACAAGCAGAGGCTAATTATATGCAGGAAACAGAACCATCGAGGCAAGGAAGAGTAAACCACAGGATGTAAACCTAGGTAGCACGGCTGGGATTTTACCACATGCAAAGAAACATGTTAATGTGCATCAGAAATCAAACAAGAAACCTGGAATTACACTTGTATCGCAGATGCTGCTACTTCTTTTTCATGTGCTGCATAGCCTTAAACTCAAGTAATTTAGCTTGCGCCAATAGAAATACAAAGTATAATAGCAACAGCTGGTATAAACCAAATTCAGAGAAGGCAGAAAAAACCAGCATCTTTATAATTATTATCAACCACAATAAACTGAAAACTGCAGAGTTGAGAAGGCCAAAAAAAATCCCCCCAATTAAGTCTGTCTTCTAGCCCACCTAGGACAACATTGATTGTGTGCCACTCCGCTTCATAAATATTTCCAACCAACATAAACATTTTTTCCCAATTTAACCCCCCACCCTCCCATGACCTCAAAAGGGGGGGAAAATTATATATATAATCCTAATCATAGTAGCTTTCCACCTCAACCATATCTATGCTCTTAATAATATAAATTGTTTGAACTTGTAAAAACAAAGATGGGTAAATTTCATGAACAAAGCTGAAAAAATCACCTTAAAATGAAAGCAAGTCTACAAGAAGACTAAAACCAATTGCTCATATGCAATTTATGTCCTTGCATAACTTATCCTCCGCAAAATGGCATCAATATAACTATGTGTTTTTCTTTTATCAAATTTCAGTGAATGCTTTTGATAGAATATGAGCTGCATATTATCAAACGATCCCAAAAGATAAATCTATGTCTAAGTCCATTGCACCAAAGTACTTATCAAGATCGTCAACTCACACCCTGTCCATATTTTTACCCCCCATTACAAGAAAAAGAAAAAAAATGGGGAAAAAGTCTGATTTTCTCAATAAATAAACTGATATCTGAAACACTATGAATCTGATTGTGTAAACCAATATTCTCTCAAATGTCTCTCAATTTCCAATCGCATTTTTCAAATACCATAATTCGTAGAATATAAGCACATTAGAATCTGAGCATCTTCTTATCTTCACGAATCGGAATTCTTCTCCTTGAACCCAACCTCCAACCTTCAATTAATTCTGAAATCAAAACCCAACAGTATGCAATACCCAAGAACTATTCGGTTTCAAAAATTAGATTTAATATCTAAAATTAGATTCAAATAACAGATCTACAACATAAACCCCATGTCAATGACATTCTATGCAACGTCTCAGAGTGATTATAATAATTGGTTATTTTTATCATGCATGGTAGATATAAAGAAACCAATATACTATGAATTTTATCTTAAAATTGTGTCGGTGATAATCTGTGGAGAAAGCAATGAATGATGAACTTACAGGGTTCAGATCCATTTCTGGAAAAATTAAGCTGCTATCCTCTTTTCTCCGTCCTATATGTATTATGTGTAGTCTCAAGTTCTACGCAGAGGACCTAAAGTTAATAAGCCCATACTTATCATGTGTTGAACCCGTGAAGATCACGTTCGACGATAAGACCATTGGATGGAATATGATAAAAATATGATCGCGGATCAAAACTTTAATCGCACATATTTTAAATTTTTAGTCAAAGATTTAAATTCATTTTTGGCATAGTAAATATTCGAATTGAAAAAAAAATTACTTCGAGCAAAGTTGTAACGAATTGAGTTATCTTTTCAACATACTTGAATCATTTCAATCGGACAATGGAAGATAAGTTATAACCAAAATATTGACTACTCAACAGAAAAAAATCATGCACGCAGCGGCAACTTTCCTTATTCGATTAGAAATTTTTTAGAAACTATTTTGAACGTCACTTACAACCAATTTTCAATTCTTACAAATCATACACATATTACATTCATAATTCCATCAATTCATACACCAAAGAATATGCAAATTCATAATATTGTAAAATACAATCAAGGGGCAAGTGTAATAACTAAATCAATTGAAGAATTCATCCTGTTTTTGGGCAAAGAATTGAATAAACAAATGAAAATTCGTGAAAATTTCATTGAAGAATTCAAAAACATCAAAATTATTCTTTGTTATTTATCAAATTCATAATACAGGTAATATTCTATAAAATTAATATGTTTTCTTGTACTTTTCATATACTAGGCTAAATTTATAATTGTTAGGATGAAGATGAACCTCTGTTATGAAGTTTTAAATTAAAATAAGTATTTTGACTTCCAATATGTATGAATTCATGGATGATTGTTATTGAGTTTTGATGTCTTTTCAATTGCTTGATCACCAATTGTCTTGAATGTGAATTTATTAATAGAAAATAGAGATATACTGTTATACTTTGAATGATTTCTATGGATGTTTTAGCGTTTTTAATGCATAATTTCATTCCGCGTCTTTCATAGATATATATGAAAGTCATATAAATGGATAGATATAATTGATATTGAGAGATGCTTTTAATTGACTTATGAACATTGATCAACATGAATAAGTGCATATTGTCGTCATTTTTAATCGTATTAAAAATTGATTAACAAGAGAGATTTACGGTCTTAGCATTCATCTCACATTTTTTTTGAGAGATGCTTTTAATTTACTTATGAACATTGATCAACATGAATAAGTGCATATTGTCGTCATTTTTAATCGTATTAATAATTGATTAACAGGAGAGATTTACGTCCTTAGCATTCATCTCACATTTTTTTACAAAAACCTTCATAATTAGCTTAGTTAATATAATTAGACCATTGAGTATAAATACTCAAACCAATTTGGCCATTCAATTAAAGTTGAAATTAATTGACACTAGATTAAGTACATAGTTCTCTTAGGTTCGACACTATATTCACTACTTTATTACTTATTCACGATCTCGTTCATTTGCGAGAAATTAAACAATTAATTTTGCTTAAAAATAATTATTCGAGTCAAATTGGATGCTGAAGAAGTGGTCATGAAGGGTTTTTGTATGTTCGAAGTCATTGAAAGTGATCCAAGAATTGATTCCCTTTGAAAGTGGCCAAATTGATGGCCTCAATTTGCGTTCATGAAGGGTTGCATGCAACTCAAGGTACATGTGGTTCCAATTCATGATTGGATCTAAATTGAAAGGGACCTAAGGTGTTGGTGGTTGCGGTTGAGGTAGTCGACGGCATGGGTGGTGTTCCTATGTAATGGGTTCCTACAGTGGAGAAGGATTTTGTAACATTTGGATATGTTTGGTGCGATTCCCTTAGTTGATTTTGGGACGTGAGGTTTACATGAAGGGCTGATACTCCACTCAAAGGTAAGGGGGTGTTGGGGAGCTGTTTCCATCGATGGTGATGAGTGGATCAGCGACTTTGGTGGTTGTTGACAATGAATAGGTGGTGACAGTGAATCACTTTCTGATTCTCGAATTTGTAGGGGTTTTGGAAGTGGTGCGTCACAATTAGTGGTGGTGATTTGTAGGTACAGGTGGTGGGTTGTAAACTTGAGGTGACAGTGAAAATTTAGGTGGTGTTGCTTTTGGTGGAGTGGGGTGAGTATATTAAGTAGATAGCTTTGACTAGTTAATTTGATAGTTTGTGATAATTAATAATTTGAGACATGTAAAAATGTATGATTTATGATTAAATTTGTAATTGTGACCTACAATTTTTGTTTTGTGCTTGTGATATTGTGTGATTTATGACTACTAGGTAACCTTAACCATAAATCGTGTGTTATTGTTACATTTAACTGTTTGATTAATAAGTAAAGCACAAATTTTTATCACTTTTATTGACAATTTTCATGCAAAACAAAGTCAAATGAATGGTATTCGGTATAGCAAAAAATTTTTAAAAATATTTTGGCAATTGGAATAAATTTTAGACCCAATGGCAGGAAAAATTATCACTTTAATGGAAAATTTCCATAAAAAACGAAGCCATACAGAAACCAAACTTTCAACATTTTCAGTTGGAAAATTATACCACTCAAACACAATTAATTACAATTCAAAGTAAAATAATTTTTAGGCAATTAGCTTGTGTAATGTGATCAATAAAATCCTTACTAAAGTTATGTCCTTTAGACGCAATAAAATTTTGCCTAAAATTATCTCCATATCCCTAAGTGGTTTTACCCCAGGAAGGGATATAGGAGACAACATTCTCAACCTATTTAGAACATTGACGGGAAGACTACAGGAGGCAATGTGGTCTTAAAACTAGATATGGCTAAGACATATGATAGGGTCGATTGGGAGTTCCTTTATAAGGTGACGGAGAAGTTTGGTTTTAGCCAAATATGAATTGATAAAATCAGAAGGAGCATTAATAATTGTAGTTTCTCTATTTTGATTAATGGAGAGCTTAAGGGATATTTTAAATCCACTAGAGGGCTGAGACAAGGAGACCCCATCTCTTCCTCTCTCTTCATCATCTTGGCTGAGTGTTTATCTAGGGGCTGGATAATCTCTTCTCTAGAAATGAAGACCTTCATTTCAGATATGGAGGAGGTATCCCAGTATCACATCTAGCGTTTGTTGATGACATTGTCATATTTACCAATGGCGAAAAACCCTATTTGAATAAAATTATGAGGTTCATCAGCCTATACACTGCTAATTCTGGGCAGGCAATCGACTGCAATAAAAGTTCATTTACCATTAGAAAGGAAATCCACAGAAAGTTATTGCTGATAATATTGGATTTCAATACCAGCCCTTGCCTATGATATATCTTGGAGTTCCTCTGTATATAGGGCATAAGAAGACTGCCTTGTTTGAAGATTTAATCAGCAAAATTAAAAGAAGAATTCTAGGTTGGGAACATAGATGGTTGTCTGCAGGTATAAGGATTACTCTTATTAAACATGTGTTGAGTTCTATGCCAATTCACTTATTACAAATCATTGAACCACCAAAATGCATTATCAACAAAATCTCAAGAATGTTCAACAGCTTTATCTGGGGTGTATCTAACCAGAGCAAGAAAATACATTGGGCTTCCTGGGAAAATATCTGCTATCCTGTTAAAGAATGGGGGTATTGGATGTCAATCTCTCTCTGACTTAAACCTAGCATTTGACTACAAACTATGGTGGAAGTTTAGGGAATAAAAATCACTTTGGAGTCAGGTTTTACAAGCTAAGTACTGTAGGAGCATTCATGCTAGTGTTGTCAATCACAATACCCAAGATTTTGGGATTTGGAGAAGAATGATTAAAGCCGGAAACATAGCTGATCCTCACATTGCTTGGAGAATTGGAGAAGGTAAAGTTAACTTTAAATATGATACCTGGCTTAAGTTTAGGGTAATTCAAGGGAGGCTGAAACATAATATTTCTCAAGGTAAGTTTGTTATGGACTTCAGGAATAGCAATGAATGGGACACTACCTCACTGAATACCATTTTATCTACTGAAGTGGTTAATGAAATAGTGAAAATTCCGGTCACCAAGATACCTGATAAGATGTTTTGGAAACCCAATTCTTCTGGAGAATTTTCCATCTCTTCTTGTATCAAACTCTTCAAGCTGAGTAAAACATAACAATTGGCATATAAACATATTTGGAATAAGAGCATTCCTCAAAAAATTAATTTTTTAGGTTGGAGGCTTTGGCATAATTGGTTACCTGTTGATGACATTATCCAAAAATAATTTGGCATACATTTAGCCTCCAAATGTCAATGTTGTTGCAATTCAAAAAGTATCAATCACGTATTCTTGGATGGTCGAATTGCAAAGGAGGTATGGTCCCATTTCAGCAAGGCCGTGAATGTTCAAGAAATTAGATGTGATCATCTAAGAATTATGCTTATGCACTGGTTCCTGCAGAAGAGAGCAAAACCAGGTGAGATCAGAAATGTTGTTCCGCTGGTTGTTATCTAGTTTCTCTAGTTGGCCAGAAATAATGCTAAACATAAACACTACACGATAAGGGCTGACAGGATTATCAAGCAAATTGATATACCGATCAATGCACTTCTAAGAGCAGGCAGGATCAAACAGATTGGGATGAGCAAGTACAACAAACCTATAGCAGTCAAGTGGATTAAACCTGAGACAGAATGGTACAAACTCAATACGAATGGGGCATTGAAGGCTAATTCTCAGGCTGCAGGCGGTGGTCTACTGAGAAAAAACTTGGGGAATCCAATATGGGGATTATGGAGAATGCTCTATCTTGGAAGCCGAATTTAGAGCTATTGAAATTAGGCTGAAATTGTGCTGGACATAGGGACTTAGGAAAGTTTGGGTAGAGACCAATTCAAAGGCGGCACTAACCTTGATTAAACAAAACAATGGTCCATGGGGAGTCCAATATACACTACAATCCATTAGATGACTTTTGGAGAAGATGGAGAACAAACTCACTCGCACTTGGAGGGAGGGTAACCAAGTTGCCGACTAGTTTGCTTCCAAAGGTTATGATGATAGAAAAGTTCAAATTAATTGAAGCAAATGAGTTCATGGGCAGAATCCAAGGAATTGTGAAACTTGATAGAATTGGTATGGAGACTATTAGATTAGTTGTTTAGCTTGAACTTGCATATTGTTTCATTTTTAGCATAGTTGCATGTGTTGTAATTCATCAGTAGAAACTGTAGAGATATTGTTGTATTCTTGGAGGTAAGGCACATCCATCCCCCTCTTTGCATTGTATTTGGTTTTCATTAATAAAGTCATATCCTAAGGCTTGAATTTTCAAGTTAGGATATCTTACCAAAAAAAAAAATATTCAAATGGATCCTTATTATGAAATTTTCCCTTTGAAAATACTTTTTTTTTTCTTTTCAACCACTCATTTTTCAATAAAATAATATGATACATAAATTCAAAACTTTTCTTTCATTTTTAACCTCATATTTTTCAAAAAATCACTATTACAAAATATATTTTTCCTAAAAATTTATTTGGGGTTTAATATAGCTCTTGATGTTATCTATTAATAAAGTATAATATATAATGTATTGAAATCCCTAGATTATATTGTAGAATGATTTTGAAAACGGTAAGATATATGTTATAGCGGTTTGAAGTGTATAAATCATATTACATGACATTTAAATGGATAAATTTTGTCTCTCATTATTATCTACAATACAAAATTAATATAATGAGAACATTAAGTCTTTATTTGGTGGGGATTAAAATTATATTTTCAGTAGATTTTAATAAAAAATGATGAAATATGTGATCGGAATGTTTTGGATCCCATGAAACGTGTGATTAGAATCAATAGTTAATTTTTATTTAAAGTAAAAGCTACATTTTAATTTTCAGCAAACATTGACTTAGCTCTTATCTGGTTAAACTTAAAAAATAATTAAAATTTAAGTCAAAAGTAATAATTAATTTAATTACGTATTTCATGAGATTTACAACTTTTCAATTACGTATTTCATCTAATTTTATCAAAATCTACTAAAATCTGATTTTTATCTAAATCAAATAAGGGCTAAAATGGTTCAATTTTCGTTTCACCATCCGTGATCGCCATACATTGGCTTAATTCTCAAATTCAACCCGCGGTTACATTTTATAAGTCCCTCTCTGCCTCACATTTTATATTTAAAAAAAAAAAAACTTACTTTCAATCATATATTTCAAGATATTTACAGTTTTTATCAATTCTTTAATTATATATTTCAATAATTTTTATCAAAATTTATTAAAAATCCATTTTTTATTGAAATCAAACAAAGGAAGTCATGGTGCCCCATCGGTGAAGCCAGCACTCGGTGAGGCTCGATGATCATCCACGCTGACTTCGTCGACAAACTACTTTTTTTTTTTTGCCTTAAAAAAGGGATATACAGGGGGAGGGAGGGACCCCTCAATATTTTGTAGAATTATCCATATAAAGTCAATTATCATAAGCTAGTAGACATTATGTGTATATAGAGAGAGAGAGAGTGTGTGTGTCTATACATATAGAAGTTGACATGCTTGTTTGTTATGAGAGATGAGAGTTTGCTGTATATATAGAAAAGGGAAAGTAGGTGATATGTACAAGTTGCCCTGGGATTCAGAGTCTAAGGGTCCATTTGATTGTAAATATGAAAATAGGTGGAAAGAAAATAAATTACATGGAATTGAATTGCCTAAAAATTGTTTTATTGAGAATTGTAATTAATTGTATGTGATTGGTATAATTTTCTACATGAAAAATGTCGAAATTTTGGATCTTTTTGTGTTCGTTTGACTTTGTTTTTCATAAAAATTGTCCATTAAACAGAATTTTTTTTCACAATTGTGGATAGAATTTCTTTCAATTGTAAATAATAATAATAATAATAAGTTGGTTGGAGGGAATTGGTTTTCCACCAATTCAAGGAAATTACACCCGTTTAAAGCAAATCAAGAAAAGTAATTCCATGGAAAAGTTTTTGTATCAAACAAGACAAAATGCAAAGTTGGAAAATGTTCTCCATTTTTCATGGAAAATCTTCAGCCGTCAAACATGCCCTAGTTACTTTTGAATTATGATGAAACAGTCTTTAAGTAACAAGGAATTCATAGGCACTAGCATATCCAATAATTTGCTTTTTAAAATGTATGTTTCTTAGTGGATAAGCGTGTTAATTTATTCAATGCGTAGGGTTTGTTCGGCGCTGCTTAACTTCTAGGCAAAATATATGATTTATCTACACATTTTCGTAAAATCCACGATTTATAAGTACATTGTAAGTATTATATTTTTATATGTATATGATTTTTACGTTTAGTGCATTTATATATTGATTTAAGATTTTTTAAATATTTTAATTAAATATCAATAAACGATTTCACTATTGATTGTCGACGATCAACAGTCAACCATAGTTCTAGCTCACCATCATTTTTAGATCCGCCATTGATAGTACCCATTGAGAACCAAAAGCTAATTTTGGCACCACTTAATTTATTTTATAAAAATATTTTTTTAGTTAGAAGGATTTTTAGAGGAAGTTAGTTCAATGTGACTTCTTATAAAAATATTTTTGAAATAAGAGGTTTTTCTATAAATTAGTTTTCAAATAAAAATGAAAATAATTTCAGCAGTAACCATTCCATGGGGGAGTAAAAGCAGAAACAAAAATAATGCCAAATGAGATTATATTATCCCCAATTTAGCATGAATTAAAATCTAAATTTTAATTACAATAAAAGTTAACAATTAATTTTAATTATATATTTTAATAGATACACAACTTTTTAACCATATATTTCATCGAATTTGAGCAGGATTTACTAAAATTCTGTTTTTAATCCCAACGGGCTATAATAATTGAGCTCCATAAATTATATTGTATAATAATTTGAAGTCCATATATTTTTATAGAAAAAATTGCAACAATGATCCCCAACCTTTTCATTTTTTACAAACTTTTCCCTAACATTCAGTTTTTGTTAGCTAAGGTTCCAACGTTTTAAAAATATGCAAAAAAAAATTAAATATTTTGACCATTTTAAGTGGGGACATTTTTGTCAATCCCATATTTCTCGTTTTAATGAAAATAAAAGAAAAGAAATAAAATAAAATGGATATCACCACAGCGCTCACCCATCATTGCCTACTACTAGACATGTCGTCGTCGCCTACATATTTCTCTAAAATTAAAAGTAAAACATCTCATCCAAAATCCAATACGGATGAAATTTCTCTATCGTGTCACGTCCTCGATTCTTCAATATACAAAATCTTCACATTTTTGGTTCAATTCATCTGCACCCAACAACTTAGGACCATCCTCCCCAATTTCTAAATCCATCAATTCCAATTGGTTCAATTCATCTGCACCCAACAACTTAGGACCAGCCTCCCCAATTTCTAAGTCAATCAATTCCAATTTTTCACGTAGATCATTAATTTCACTTTCCATTTCTTCAATTTTTGCCCTAATTCTCAAATTTTGTCTTCCATTTTCTTCAACATTTTCCTTAATTGTTGATACTTGATGCTGTGAATTGAGGCTCATATTCATTCTTCTCTTTTGAATTCGAATTTCTGTTAAGCTTAGAAGTTTGAAGTATCAAAACAAAATTTCAATTGCAAATGAGGAATATGTAGTTTCTTTCACCGTTGTAAGTGAAGAATTTGATGGAAATATCAAACGCAAAATAATCAAAAATTGATTAACAGAAAATGAAGAAAAATAAGGGGATGGTGGTGGTCTACGATGTGACTCGTTTGAGATGGGTGGCTATGGTGGCCGACAATAGCGTCAGCGGTGGAAAAGGGAATGGGGTAAGAGTGCATGGTTTGAAGAAGACAATTCCTTTTTTATTTGGTTTTTTTTTCCTTAAATTATTGGTTTTAGAAATTTATTTAATGTTGTAATTCTAAAGTTACAACTATATCTTCATTAATTTGGTCAAAATTGATCGAAGTTTACTTTTTTTTGGTTAACTGAAAGTCAAATGGATGAGTTCCATTTAGACTTTAAATGCATATTTTTGAAAAGTTAGGAATTCTCTGACACAAATTGAAGTTTAGGGTAGAATCTGTGAAAATTGAAAAGGTGAGGGAAAGTTGTTGCAATTTTCCCTATTTTTATTTTGACTTTTGGTTTGCTTCTCTCACACCTGACTGTCCTTTTGTTGTACTCTTCTGAACTCCCCCGAGAAGCTCCAACAATTCTAAACTGCATAGCTCTGGCTTTCTCAAAATTCATTGACATCTTGCTTTTGCTTTCCTTACCTCCTAAACAAATACATACGTATAAAGTCTCCGTCCCGCCAATTTTCGCCTATTAACTCTTTAAAGGATCAACAATGGCAAGCACAGACGAAGAAACCACCATCCAGTACTTCAAGAAAGGCGCCGCCGTGGAAATTAGCAGTAACGATGAAGGATTTCGCGGCTCGTGGTTCGAGGGCACTGTTATACGCCCCCCCCGGGAAACAACTACCCCATTATCATCGAGATCCAAGAGGAATTCCATACGCAATCAGTACAATAAGAACAAGAAAAATACCATCCGGGTGCTGGTGGAGTACAAGAATCTGATGGAGGATGAGGCAGGCACGAAGAGGCTGAGAGAGGAGTTGGATTTGGTGCAACTGCGTCCGCCTCCTCCGCGAGAAAAGCTCCTGAGCTTCAAATTCAACGAGGAGGTGGATGCGTACTACAATGACGGGTGGTGGGAGGGTGTAGTCACTGAGGTGCTGGGGAAGGATATGTACTCGGTGTTCTTTCGGGGCAATAGGGAGCAGATAGACTTTAATGCCTCCCAGCTGAGGCTGCACCGCGAGTGGGTTAAAGGGAAATGGGTCCCTCCTTTGGAAGATGCCCCTCCTTTGGAACTGGAACAGGATGAGGTACGTAGGTTTTAACGTTGCTGTGTATGTTACAAATTGTTGCAATGATTGGTGTGGTCGGGACAAGCCTAGATACAGATGTTAGGGCAGGCTAAAATTTTTAAAAAAAGTTACAAAAATACTAAATGTGGTTTACCTTAATTCTATGTCTAAGGTACACAGAGTAGCAAGAAAATTTCATGAGATGAGAAGAGATTAAGACGTGAGTTGGCAACAATGACCAATAGCTCGAAATCTAATTGCGCTAGAGAACAGTCTCATTCACTACACCTCTAGAAGCAAACCATATTTCTCCAAAGAAAAGAACAAAGAGAGAAACAACTAGAAACTAGAGACAAAAAATTAAAAATGACTTAAAGTGTATTTTAAATGGAAATAGAGGGGGCTATTTATAGCTAAAGAAAGGGTGAGATATGGTGGAAAAACGACCAGTGTGGATTCACAATTGCTCCAATATGTGGTTTTTAATTTTCCATATACATGTGACTGTTCTTTTAACCACATGCAAAGTTTCCAACTTGGCTAGAAAGGCATCATAACTCTTTATAGCACTTTTGCTGTCTAGCTTTCGAAGTTTTATTTATGGTGAGCACATTGAAGGCTAACCAATGCCTAAACTTGGCTGTTGGAGCTGGCTTTGTAATCGTGTCTACTATTTTATCCAATGTTGGAATCCTTTTAACTTCATGGCAATTGGCACCCTGTGCTAAGTGCATCATGATATCTATGTGCTTGGTCCTTTCATGGTACATCTGATTTTTGACAAGATGTATGATGACTGTCCCAATAGACTGCTGTTTATTTTGTTTGTTTGTTTACCCAACTCACCAGCCAGACCACAAATTGTAATACCTTCTTTCATTGCTTCTATTGCTGCAATGTTTTCTAACTCAGTGGCACAAACAATTACTCCCAAGTGGTAGAACATTCAAAGGAGTGAAAATAGAACTTGTTAAGGACCTTCTCTTATCCAGATATTCCAGCATTATCTGAACTTACATATTCAATGATACTTCTCGTGACGTCATTGTATTTCTCATAAATGAAGCCTGACACATTAATATTATTCTAGGTTTTTTCATGTATCCTGCTTCCTAGAATTCATCGTGTGAGATGTCTGGCCTAATGCAAACCATGACGTAGATGATTCTACTAGCAACACTAGTTATGTAACATTGGACATGGGTTCCGCCGACTTGTGAGTCTGTAGTGATAGTGTTGCTGAAAGTTTAAATGAGCTTCTAGTGGAGTACGTGTCGGTTTTGAGTTTTGCATACTAAAGCATTGCAACATCTTATCTTTTCTTTTCTGCTTGATATTATTTGTTTTTCTCTTTTGTTTTGCAACTCCTATACCTTTCATTTGAGGCTCCACACTTAATTGAGCTTTTAAACCACTTGAGTAGTCATTTATAAATGTTAGCATGTAGCTGGCGCTAGCAACACGACAAGGACCTTATAAATCTGATTTCATATAAGTTATGCTTCTCTAGAACCCGGCCTCTACTTACATCTGTATTTAATGATTTCTGATGGTGAGGTGGTTTGGTGAAGGATGCACATCTGGAGCTGGTGTATATAGGTGGTGGGAGGGGCATAAGATCACATGAGAAATTGAAACAAATCCATTTTTGTTTTCTGCTATGGAGAAAAAGAGAGTAGGTATAAGCTCACAAACTGACACAGAGAAAAGATTGGAATTTGTAAAATACCTAGTATAGCCATCTAATGTCTCCTTATCTTGTGGAATAGTAGTATTAAACTTCAACCTCCATTGTTTCACAAACCCATAGTGTTGACACAAATCTAATTTCCCAGTTCTTTGTCCGCAAAGCAGTCCTTGGTCACTCTACTGAATAACCTCCTCTGCTTGATCCAGTATTCTACAATTTTGTAAGGGTTACACATTGATGATGCTGGAGGCCTGGAGCCACACCTATAACTGTGCTTCCTTGCAAATTGAAGGGAGCTGGCTTTCTTTTTTTTTTTTTTTGTGCGAGAATTGAAGAGGAGGGAGGTACCAATCCTTGAAGCCTTGACCTCAAAGGGTGGTCCATGGAAACAACAATCCTTAACCGACTAGGACAAGGTGAATTGGTAGCTAGTTTCTTTCTTTTCATCACCACCTTTTGCTGCTGGAATAATTCACCTTCAGCTTTAAAGCTATTACTGGTTGAGAGTACTCAATGACAGCAAGTGCTTCTATAGATTGGTACCATACACTAATCTTAATTAGGACATGAGATATAAGTACCCAAAATCAAGAATGCACTAATCACATGAGTTGCTAACAAAGACTAAATGGTCATTTGCAACGTCTTCATCTTCTATAGCTACATCTCCTGGATCTACAAGCTTTTTCCTTTTTGTAGATTTGCGTGCCTACCATTTCCTTCCATTTTGCGCTTTGGGAAATGTTTCTTAAAGTTCCATTATTTGTAACATTGAAAACATTTTTATTTTCATATTTTATATTTTGAGCTAGATCTTCCTTTACTGCCTTCAGTTCTGCACCATAATTTTCATGTTCTTCCTTGCGGCAATTGTAACCAAACTCTACTAGAGCCTTCATTTCTGTTTTCAGACGCTCTTTTTCTCGACTCTTTAGTGTATAGAGCTGCCTTAATTTTTTCCATAGTAAGAGTTACATGACAAAATATTAGCGTCAATAAAATGCTCCTAAGTATTTGGCAGAAAACATAAGTATAATGGCCTAGTCTTCATCAACTCTAACTTCTTTGATCCCGAGGACAATTTTGTTAAAATCGTCCAAGTGTTGTTTGATGGGTTTGCCTTCTTGCATTTAAAGTTTCAGTAATTTTTTCTCAAAATACAGCTGGTTAGTGAGCGATTGGTTGTGTGTAAGTTTCCTAGCTTCAACAATAACTTTGCCAACAGTACCTTCTTCATGAATTTCATGCTAAACTTTACCACCCGAGTGCAATAAAAGTTAACTGTGCTTTCTCCATAATCTCATCATTGTCTAATAAGAATTCCGGAAGAGCTTTTGATTGTTTGATGTATGATTATTATCTTAACCTGTCATAGTCCATAGACTGCAATCATTTTCTTCATTAAGCAGTTGTTTATCTCTCTTTAAAACAGAACTCTTTAATTCTCATACTCATTTTCAACCACATATTCACACAATAAAATATTTTGCACATAAACCATAAATTTTCCCTAATTTTAACCACACATTCTCCAAAAAAAATTACTATTCAAAACATTGTTTTTTCTCAATAATGGCTGGGGACTAAATTTCTAAGCTTTGCTAAGCCTTGATGTATGGGCAGAATCCGAATCTTAACTTGCCATAGACTTCAATCTTCTTCTCCATTAAATCTCTTCGCATCAATTTATAGTAACCCTAGCTCTATATGAGTTTGTTAAAGTAGAATGGCGATATGAAAAAACTAAATGGAAAAGATGTTTGTGGTCGTAGAGCAGCGAGAGAGCTTAATTATTAGGAAGTGATTATTACCTAAGCTATTGGCAAACAACACTCACCACCCATAACCTAATCACACTCACCCAGAAACCAAAGTACCCTTTTCTAAAGAAAATAACAAAGATAACAACATACAAGAGACTAAAGACTAAAAATCACAAACATGACTTCCCTTTGTAGTTGGGCATGTCTCAAATGGAAAAGGAGGCTAATCATAGCAGAAAGCAGATGATGAGATATGGTGAAGAAGTCAGCATCGTGCCTTTAGAATTGCTCCAAGACGTGGGCTCTTAATTTGCTTACATGTCCCATTTGTGGCCACAGGGTGGCTGCTCTTTTAGCCACATGCAATGTGCTCAATGTTATCATTCAAGAGATCTTAGCTCTTCATAGAACATTTAATCTGTAGGGATGATATTTGAAAGTGCATACTGTCTTTTATTTTGAATTTATTATTTATATGATGCTGCATAGTTGATGGCTTATTTTAGGAAATTGTGTGCCTTCTGCAATAAACAACTAGAATAATGGAACTGCTGACGGTGTTTGAATACTATGGTTGTGAATAATGTTGCTAAGCTAGGTAGCTTTCATGGAAAAAAAATTATACGAGTTTCTATCGGTAGCGATTGCTCAAGTATTGGTACCTTTGTGTTACAAAAAATGGAACTGCTGACGGTGTTTGTGTCCTATGGTTGTGAATCATGTTGCTAAGCTAGGTAGCTTTCATGGAAAAACAATTATACGAGTAGTTTCTATTGGTAGCGATTGCTCAAGTATTGGTTCCTTTGTGTTGCGAAAAATCACCAAATAATAATATGCACCGATAGGCTGGCCCTTTGTGTTGTGAAAAAAATCACCAAATAATAATATGCTGGGACTAAATCTTCCCCCATAATGTGATGAAGGATTCTTTGTCAAATTCTAACAAATTCATAATAACATTGCTGATCCAAGCAGTAAAGACAGGAAAATAAATCCTTCGTAACAGACTTGCTGTTTCTATTCTTTTTCCTCTCTCCCTGTGGAAAAGAACTTGTTGCATATGCTAATCTCACTTATCTTATTACTACAGAAAGTTTCAGCCCCAACTGAATTGAAGCTCAATAATGAAGAGATAACTGAGGATAGTTTTGGCCAAGGTGCACTAGTGGAAGTAAGCAGCGATGAAGATGGTTTTGAAGGTGCTTGGTTTGTTGCAACTGTGATAAAAAAGGTTGATGAAAGAAAATATCTAATCGAGTATCAGAACCTCAGAAATGATGACGATACAGAGTTTGTAAAAGAAGAGGTTGATACTCTGCATATACGACCATGTCCACCTGATGTTGGACAAATCGACCGTTTTGAAGTCCTGGATGAGGTTGATGCTCTGTATAATGATGGTTGGTGGGTGGGTGTGATTTCCAAAGTTTTTAAAGATAATAAGTACACTGTGTACTTTAGGGGCACCAATGAGAATTTAAAGTTTAAACATGCTGACTTGCGGCGGCATCAGGAATGGATAAATGGCAAATGGGTAATAGCCTCTTCACAGGTATGATGCTGACAATATTTGATTGATGTCCTTTAGACTTGCTCCATTTGGGAATGTTTCTGACTTGGTTGACTGTTTTTTCTGCTAGGATCTGAAGTCGTAATGTCCTAAGTAATGAAGATTCCAGACAGCTGAGTAACTTCACATTGTATCCTTTCCAGATGGTGTATATCCCTGCTCCCTAGCTCAAGTATTCATTGTACCACGTGAAACTTATGGTTAAGAAGGTTACTAGTTTAGGAACAATGTTTTCTTGGCTTCTCTTTGCTACTGGTGTTATGGTGCCCTTTGGAATTCTTTGCTTTAAGTAGGGAATGACTTCTGAATTAGACAATTTTAGCTTGCAATAACAAACGTGAAACCACAAATCCGTTCTAAAGTAGTGCTACTTTTTACTATTTTCATTTGGGATGCATTTTTTTGTTTAATACCAAAAGTACCAATGTTGCAGATGTAATCAGTAAGCATCATTTTCAGCTCTTGTAGCAGTTAGAAACCTCTCTCTGGTTATTAGTAGTAGCACGAAATAAAGTAATAGTTAGCAAAGGTGGTACTTTTTCTTGCCTGCACCTTCTATTTTTGATATTTTAAAATCCTATTATACTAGGTCAATTATGATGGATATACACAAGATTTGGTGAAAAAGTGGTTCTCCAATGGTGAATCAAGAAGTTTCAACCAGCCAATATATTGATATGCATCTCTTCATATAAATAAAATAATAACCATCACTCTTCTAGTCACGCTGCCATACGGTTTACAGATAGATTATTCGAGTTATGAGGTAGATAATCAGGGGGAGTGGATAATTGTGGATATATCATTGCTCTTACTTGTCTTTTATGTTTCTTCAATAATGATAGATTCTGGAAGGACTAGTGTCAGTTACACATCCTTGATTGGCACCTGAGTTCACTTCACCGTTCTCTTCAACTCTGTTAGCTGCTTCGCTTATATCTTTCACCTCTTCGATCTCGAAAGCTGACACCGGAAAAGACTTCGACAACCCTGCTGGAGTCTTAAAGGTGATTTTTCCAGGGGGGTGGGTCTTCCACATATTTCACTCTCTGTGTGATCCATAATAAAAATTCCCTAGTCTTCACAGCGGTTAGTTTCTTGATCTTGTTCGGCTCAGCATAGGCCGTGACCACAGGTGCATACTGCCTGAGGTTCCCTATCTTCTCATTTTTTTCTGGAGTGGTATCTAGATCCTCACCCTACCAATCGTGGAATTTGGAATCGCTAAAATGTCGAAATTCATGTTGAAAGACTGTTGTGCCCATCACATTTTATAGGTTGGAGACCTGGATGACACTTTTGGCCGAGGTTATGGACCCAAGGTGGAATTTACCCTAAAATTTTTCTTTGTTGTTTTATCATTTCCGTTTTGGTTATATTTAGGAATCCCTAATCTGATGCTTATAGATTGAATTATACAATTTTTAGAGTCACCTATACTTCGCTATTCGCCATCTAGTTGTACCCACTCTCGCGCTCTCTCTTTTTGTTATTTGTTGAAGATTTCAACTCGTTTTCATTTTCATCATTTCAAAAGGGGATTAAGTGGAATTCAAATATCTTCAACTTCGACTAGGCATCCTAGCTTGTTGCCAATCCTTGGCAACTAAGGTTCGACCACTATGGTTGCAGTTGCAGTTGTAGTTGCTATTGTCACTGTAGCTACCACTGCTATCACTGTCGATTAGCCCCCGTTGAGTGTGCACGTCTTGAGCACCTTTACAGTAGCACGGGCTCCATTGACTTGTATAGTTCATGCATTTCGTTCTGCCTACCACATCCCTTGCCTTTCGACCTTCCTCGGAAAAGAGAGGAAAATAGAAAAGGTGAAAGGAACAATCTTTACAATGAATTGTCATTTTTTGGGCTCACATTTATTCTAAACCAGGAAAATGCATATTTGGTACCTTTTTTTTTTTATATATAGAGAGATTTTGTGAAATTCACAAGTACTACTTATTTATTCACAATTCATAAGTTAAATTGATTCTAATCCACACGTGAAGTAACTTATAATCCAACCTCAAATGAGACAGGGCCAGTTGTGTCAACTCTTGTCTTGTTGGTGTCAATTTATATTGGGCTAGGCTACTAAGGGCCTAATATTGGACTTCTGAATTAGAAGCCTGAAGCTCTCAACAGCGATCCCTGGAGTATGTGCACAATCAAAATTGGGGGTCAAAAGACTATTTTACCCCTCAATTGTATTTTCTTCCTCGGTTCAGATTTTTCTCTCATGGAGTACTCATTTCGTATCTCGTCACGAATGAATTATTTAGTAAATATTCACTAAATTTCTAAGTTAAATTTATTCATATGTCGAAAAATTACTTATGGAACATTGCTTCCCTCTAGAGAGTTGGGATTCGTAACATGATTCCAAAAAAAATTTTAAAAAAAATAAAGGTGTAATATCTTCCATTTTGGATTAAGACTACTAATTTAAAGTGAATGAAATATGTAGTTGAAAAGTTACAAAAGTGGTGAGTCCTATAAAATATGTGTTTGGAAATGAATTTAAAGAAAAGTGAGTTTTAAGAAATGGGAACCAAACAGGTGCTTAGTCCGTGATCTACCTTCGTTTGAATTCATTTCGACGATCATCATGTTCTCTTCTTTTACAAGGTACTCTTCTGATGTTTCAAACTACTACGAAAAATAAAGGATTACAGAGAGGCAAACGAAGAGGATCAAATTCGCCCCTCGGGAGCTCGTCCTTGAACTATATAAAACAAGTCGATAGCAAATTTAGCAGGAATCGATGAGCATCACACCGTTCAAATCAAGATTTAATCATGATATCACAGGGCCAACAACAAATACAAACATTAACCAGTAAAGAAAACAATATCATTAATTTTCAAGAAGACAATAGTGTCAGTGTTTTCTCATTTATAATTACCCAATGGCACCAATGGCTTAAGGCTATGTACACTGAAGTTGGATTCGCTTCTAAAGACATGATACGAAGAAAATATTGAACTTAAGACAACTGAAATCAACTCACTTTCAACCGGCCCGCGACGCTTTTCTCGGTTATTGCTCTTTCCAAACTTCAGGTATCGACCCCTTCTCAACTCATCATCTTGCAGAGAATTTGTAGGATTGCATCCATGTAGAACTTGATTGTCGTCAATTTCACCGTTGATTTGTCCATTCTGAACAAAATTCCTAGATCCTGAGATGTCATCGATTATCTTAAGGATAGAGAAACCATATGATGAAAGAACAACTTATGAATGGTCTCTCTCAGAAAAATACAATCAGCATAATCAAGATTCAATAAAATCTCTACAGTTGGTGCATATAGGCTTAAAAAGTCAACAATGAACGTTTCCTGTTAATTTTTTAACAAATGAAACAAGGGATTAATGAAAACATCATAGAATCACACGTCTGTTAATTACATGTAACAACATTAAACCTGATCTAAAATTCTTCGTGCACGTCATCAGGACTCTTGTAATGAGGAATCTCATGATCATTGGACTCGTCAGAAGTATGAGTCGGCATTTCATTTATGTAGGAAACTTCAGAGATGGATTGTCATAAACTTTAGGTTCGTCCAGTTGGAAAAACAGCAGCATGTACTCAACTCCAATGACCACATCATACAACATCAGCCCAATTCGTCCTCCAACCCAACTGCCCAGATGACTTCCAACCAAATAACCAAACCGCCCAAACCTTTGCTCTCCAATGTAACCTACAGAATAGGTTCCAAACAATGTCCCTGTGCCCCGAAGGAACCCTTCTGTTATTGTACCCCCATAGTAAAGAACTTCAAAAAAATCCCATCCTGAAGAAATGATGGGACCTAAGATGCGCTTGGCTTTCTGAGTAGCCAGTTTTGCTGCCTTAGCTCCTTCTTTCTGGGCTAGTTCGACTGCATCTTTTGTAGGCATGCCTTGTGTTAATGCATCAGACAGAGCAGTTTCAATTGCCTTGTTCCTAACACTCTCTACATGGATAGATCTGATGTTGTAGACATAGAGTTTTACACCCTCCTTTGCCATACACGAAAGGGTTCCAGAACCCCCATCAAAACAGCCACTTTTGGATGCAGCCTCTTTACCAACCAATTCCCTACATTTTTCAGCTATAAAAGCAGGAAAATGTAAAAACAAGGATTAACTAAAAGCTTGAGAAAAGAAGACAGTAAGAGAAACAAGTACTGATTACATAACAAAAAGAAATATGGGAACAGTAAATAGATTCGATGCTATTTTCCTATAATCGCATGTCTATTTTCATAGGATTTTCTAGAGTACTGTCATTAGCAATTGATACATGACTACTTTCAATAATGCATATGCTGTAAAGTAAGTCATTCACAACATACCTAGTAATTTGACACTTCTCACTTAGATATTAAGAAATGCCTACAGAGTATGCAAAAGATCAATTAGTTTAAGCTTAAGTAAGAATGTTGTTTCATACAATTAGTATTTTCCTAGTGCATAAATAACTCTGTTATTATCCATATTACTATTACAAAAGTGGCATTGCATGTACAAGGTCTTGGTTCTACTTAACCTAAAACCTTCAGATTCCAAAGCACTAACATGAAGTCCTAACTTACAATTTAACTAACCCCTTTTCATTCTCACAACTAAACCTATATGATTGACGAATAACATACTCTTAAGGAGACTCATAGAATTATACTATGATTCACTCAACAAATCTTATTGATGGAGACTCTGTATGAGATTCGATATGATACTTTTCAAGTTTAGGCACTTATTTTAAGGAAAAGTCATTACGGTTTATTTTACAAATATTCTAATATTTCTAAATTATTTTTAGAGTTAAGTTCCTACTTAAAGAAGGGTTCATTTGACATACCTTTTGAGAAGTAAAAATGAGCTCTTAAGGACCCAAAAGCTACTTTTGGCCCCGTTTGGCTAATTTTATGAAATTGCTTCTTCAAGTTAGAAGTGTTCTTAGAGGAACTTGATCCAATGTGGCTTTCTATAAAAGCACTTCCGAAATAAGAAGCTCTTTTAAAAATTAGTTTCTAAACAAAAATTAAAGTAACTTCCCCCAAAAGCTCTACTGAAGCAAAGGCAAAAGTAAAAGCAAAAGCAAAAGTAATGCCAAACGAGCTTAGATTGGTTGACCTATATAAAGTGGGCTTATGCATTATAATAGTTAGACTTGATTATTGATAAAAACTCATATTTTCTCCCCTTTCTTCTCCTCCTCTTTCCCCTTCTTCTACAAGTCTCATTCTTGTTCATTGCATACTACGTTACTTACATTTCACATCTTTACATTCTCAAATGACAATAGCTGGAAAATAATCTAAATTTTTTAAAAGCATACTTTAAAAACATAGATATCCTCAAAAAATATAACTCTATTATATTGTTGAATCATATCATGTGTCATCTNTAAGATGCGCTGGGCTTTCTGAGTAGCCAGTTTTGCTGCCTTAGCTCCTTCTTTCTGGGCTAGTTTGACTGCATCTTTAGTAGGCATGCCTTGTGTTAATGCATCAGACAGAGCAGTCTCAATTGCCTTGTTCCTTGCACTCTCTACATGGATAGATCTGAGGTTGTAGACATAGAGCTTGACACCCTCCTTTGCCATACATGAAAGGGTTCCAGAACCCCCATCAAAACAGCCACTTTTGGATGCAGCCTCTTTACCAACCAATTCCCTACATTTTTCAGCTATAAAAGCGGGAAAATGTAAAAATATGGTTTAAATAAATGCTAGAGAAAAGAAGACAGTAAGAGAAACAAGTACTGATTACATAACAAAAAGAAATATGGGAACAGCAAATAGATCCGACGCTATTTTCCTATATTTGCATGTCTATTTTAGCCCCCGTTTGGACCACCTTATTTTCTCATTAAAATAAAAAATATGATCGTTATCCATCACATCAACATTTAAATTCAAATTTTCTATTTCTTGTGTGAACCCCAATAACGACTATATTTTTCATTCTCATTCTACAATAAGGTGGCTCAAACAAGACCTTAATATGATTTTCTAGAGTACTGTCATTAGTAATTGATACATGACTACTTTCAAGAATGCATATGCTGTAAAGTAAGTCATTCACAACATACCTAATAATTGACACTTCTAACTCACTAGAAAAGCCTACAGAGTATGCAAAAGATCAATTAGTTTAAGCTTAAGAATGTTGCTTCATACAATTAGTATTTTCCTAGTGCATAAATAACTCTGTTATTATCCATATTACTATTACAAAAGTGGCATTGCATGTACAAGGTCTTGGTTCTACTTAACCTAAAACCTTCAGATTCCGAAGCACTACCATGAAGTCCTAACTTACAATTTAACTAAACCCTTTTCATTCTCACAACTAAAACCTATATGATTGACGAATAACATACTCTAAGGAGACTCATAAAATTTTACTATGATTCACTCAACAAATCTTATTGATGGATTGATGGAGACTCTGTATGAGATACGATATGATACTTTTCAAGTTTAGGTACTTATTTTAAGGAAAAGTCATTACGGTTTATTTTACAAATATTCTAATATTTCTAAATTATGCTTAGAGTTAAGTTCCTACTTAAAGAAGGGTTCGTTTGACATACCTTTTGAGAAGTAAAAATGAGCTTTTAAGGCCCTAAAAGCTGCTTTTGGACCCGTTTAGCTAATTTTATGAAATTGCTTCTTCAAGTTAGAAGTGTTTTTAGAGGAACTTGGCCAATGTGGCTTTCTATAAAAGCACTTCCGAAATAAGAAGCTCTTTTAAAAATTAGTTTCTAAACAAAAATTAAAGTAACTTCCTCCAAAAGCTCTACTGAAGCAAAGGCAAAAGTAAAAGCAAAAGCAAAAGCAAAAGTAATGCCAAACGAGCTTAGATTGGTTGACCTCTATAAAGTGGGCTTATGCATTATAATAGTTAGACTAGATTATTGATAAAAACTCATATTTTCTCCCCTTTTTTCTCCTTCTCTTTCCCCTTCTTCTACGAGTCTCATTCTTGTTCATTGCATACTACGTTACTTACATTTCACATCTTTACATTCTCAAATGACAATAGCTGGAAAATAATCTAAATTTTTTAAAAGCATACTTTAAAAACATAGATATCCTCAAAAAAAATAACTCTATATGTAAAACAACTTAGTATAGTACACAGTAGACTCTCAATGAACAATGATTTTATTTCTTTGTAATATGTTTTCAGTCAAAGAAATTAACCGGCAACAATTTTTCCAACTAAGACATGAAATAATTCATTTTATTGTTTCCAAACACAAAAAAAGGAACAAATCATTTGAGACTTGCATAAATTGAAGCACACTAAATGAACTGAAAATTAAACCACAAAATATTAAAATAAATAAATAAAAATATAAAAGTTTCTTACCAGTAATATTGAGGGAAATTACTCCAACAATGAAAAGCAAAAGCTGAACTGTCTTCTTCTCAAGAATCTTCATGACGATGGACTATTACTAATTAATTCATATTTTTTGAGTATAACCCCATTTACAATGAACTTGAATAGGCTTAAATTTGGATATCTAACAATTTTTCAGCCAGAAAAAAAAAAACAGGGATTCCATACGCGTTTCAGAGCGGGCTTTTGTTTACTTATCAGTTTTCTCCGGTCAGCTGAGAACCAATCACAACAGAAGCACATTTTGTCCCCCAAAAAATAGCGCGAATGGTCCCTAACCTTTTCTCTTCATGCGTTTATGGTCCCTAATATTTAAATTTTAGCGGAGAAATGTCAAACCTGCGCCTTTATATGCACAAATTGTCTTTTTTGAACAGATTCCATCCAAAAATGCAGTTAGTTTAGCGTGTAGACAGTAGACTTCACATTCCTCTTGTTTCTTTTCTTGCAGAGACAAATTTGTCAAAAACCTAAAAGGTAAAATTTAAACAAACAAAAGAATAAAAAGTAATACTCAGCTTCCTATAAGGATTGTTGAAATACCTATTTTATGTGTTGATGAGTACTAATATCTTGATGATTAAAAGAGAGAAAAGTGGAAAAGTGAGTCATATGTTTCTTGAATGAACCGCGCTACACGTACAGAAAGAAAACTCACAGATGTCTTACAGAGCACTCACACATTCGGGGCTCGCGCGTAAATTTTTGTTTTTTTAATACATGGTGGGGCCCACCCATGTGAGTGACCTGATGACACGGGGATTAATTCTTCTTGAATTGGTGGCCTATTTGATTCGGATCTAGACATATTACTGTTTTCTTTTTTATGGATTTTATTTTTTTGTGGATTTTGAAGTAGTTAGAGTACTTGTTTTGTGATCATTGAAGATTGTACCTTTTAGTTATGTAGATTCTGCTCGCATTACCCTTTTTGAACTCTCGTTCAATTAATTCTAACCTCCGTTTGTTTCTCATTTTTCTCATTTCTATCTCTGGTGTGAGGTTCAATAACAACTATATTTTTCATTCAAATAATGCTATTCATCTTCATTGAGGACGAAAATACAGTTTAAGTGACGTCAATGTGGCATTAAATGATATGTTAAATGAAATGTGAAATTAAGGGAGTGTTTGACACCCATTTTAACAGAAAAATGTGTTTTTGAATAGTGATTGATGGAAGAATGTGTGGTTAAAAAGTAAGGAAAATTTTTAGGTTTATGTGTAATATTATTTTATTGATAGAATGTGTGGTTGAAATGAAGAAAGATAAAAAGAATGAGAATGAGAATGAGAAAAAAATGGATGCCAAACCGGGGCTAAATGACTTATCTAATTTCACATATCATTTAATGTCACATTAACGTCACATAAACTGTGTTTTCATCCCTACTGAGGATGAATAACATTACTCTTTTCATTCTCATTATACAATAATGAGAGTCAGACGGCCCCTAATAACGTCTTGATCAGTTATATAAAGATTACTTATTTTTATGGTATTCTTAGGAGATTTTATCGAAACTTGATGCATTTCAAACTATAGTTTTGGATTTGATACCAATTATTGCAGGAAGGCTTCTTGGAAAATGGGTTAAATATTAAATTATTGTCACCCTTCTTTCTCGTCAACGAGTTATGGTGGCAGTGTGTGGTGGTGGCGGCTAGGCTGTGGCATGTGGGGTGGGATGGAATGGAGTGGGTTACTTTTTTTTATTTTAATTTTACTTTCTACTTATTTTATTTAAAGTTTGAAAAAATTGTCCCCGCAATAAAAGGGAATGTGAGTTTACGCACAAAATAAAGGCACCTTTAGATGGAAATAGTTAGAATGAAATGTGCGTTACACGTTATTTTGAAATGCTGTATAAGTGATGTAAAAGTAATATTTGATCCTCCATTTACTTTTTTGATCTAAATATTAGAGAAATACAAACTCTTAAAAATAAATGTTAATTATTATACATGCCCGTAAATAGTGAAATGCATACTTGAATGGGAGTATTAGAATTACAACTAAATGCATAAATAAAGATGAATGACAAATACGATATATGAATTAAGGTGAATATTAATCAGTTTAGAATTAATACCAATGAATATATACGTGATGATGAATGTTAAATTATTTATATTAAATGAATAAAATTTAATTTTTAATTAAGTGAGACTTGATGATAATTAACATACAAGAACGTGAATAATGAACTACATTTTTAAATGTAAAATACTAATTAATATTAATTAAATAAATGTAAATGTTAATTAATTAAGAATTAATAATACGAAATACATGCATGAATAAGGATTTTACATTTTGTAAATTAAATATTTATTAAAAACAAAACTATGGTAATATTGAAATAATTGAATTGCCATAGGAGTATAATTGTCCAAAAAATTATTCTCACTTGATATAATATTTAATATATTATAATTTATCCAAAAGGGTCCTTTGGAACACTTGAATTGAAGGAATAGATTCAGAATATCTCTGCGAAATTTAAAGATTAGAGGCCAAAAACGAAATGACGAAGACTAAGACCATTTTCACCAAATCCCAATAATAAAACACAAGAAAAAGGTTTCTATTCCAACAAAGGTTACAATTTTGATAGTTTTCCATTTTCAAAAAAAAAAAAAAAACAAAAACAAAAAAAACTTGACAATATAGCAACAGAGGTCTCCAACCTTTCGCGCGTGTTACACTTTGGTCCTCAACCTTTAAAAAGTACCATTTACATCCCCGAGGGTTTTGAAGCAACATATTAATTAACAAGTCAATATTTTGTTAATAAACCAATTTTATGCTTAGCTTCAATTTTACAAAAGAAAAAAACAAAAAAATTGAAAAGAGAGAATACACGCCATTTGCTTGAAAAACACGTGCAGCCGACATGAGTCAGATAATTGAAAATCAAATGTAATCGATGAAGAGGCAAGAATTCTACTAATAATGAAATATTGGGCACGAAATTGCAACAAAAATACCGGGGACGTGATTACTACTATGCACAAAGGTCGGGGATAAAATGGTGCAATTTACCCTAAAGACTTCTAATGATATTGTAAGGAGATCGGATTAATGTTTTATGATTTGTCATTTAACATTTTAAGCTCATTAACAATAATTAAATTATTTCTATTAATTCATAATTCAATACTATTTTAGA